AATCGTACCATATACGTTTACATGCAGATTGCTGCTGACAAATGCAGTCGCTGCCATCAGCATAATATGGACAGACACACCCGAGATTCCTGTCACCAGCATCCGTAGGTTCTTGCCATAGGAATCCCCAGCCGCAGCCTAAAGCCCTGTGTGAACAGGACCTTAGTGTTCCACTTTCACATGACATTGATGAAGTTGGTATTACAGCTGAATGTACATGGTGTGCATTGCCTATTCATCACAGAATACAACTGTCACAATGCCAAACATGTCATTTTCCTTAATATTTTACTGGAAGAAATGGGTTCCAACATCGATGAGCTCCAAAAAGACATAGCTGACCTGATGACACAAGCAGGCATAGAAGACAGAGATGATGTTTTGGTAAATATCTACTTTTTGGTTTAATATATACTATTGCACACAGGAGCAAATATTTGTTGAAACCAATAAAATGTATATTGTGGTGGTCGTGTGCTACATGACTTCTGTCACATGACCCCTATGGGTTACACTATAATTTGTGGCACTGTTGCGGACTTGTTATGTCAATCGTCTAATAGATTGAACAATATAGATTTAAAAGGTTTACAGAGATATTTATTTGTAAAAACTGCTTTTAAAGCTGAACTCTGGGCCCAAAAACCTTAATCTAAATATATTCTTAAATAGCCACAAAGGATATCAATCTACTTTGTGTGCATCAAATGTCTTTGTAACCCCAGATATTACCTTATAAATATAGCAGTGACGTCACTGTGCTGTACATAAGCTGCACTGAGAGCAGAGAAGTAGGAGGGACCTGCTTCACCACAGGCTGCCACCCACCACAGGAAATCTACAGGAGGGGGGCGGATAAAAGACCTGTCACCCTGCACAAGGAGAGAAGGCAGCAGTGACCGGTCTTTATTACAGGAAGCTCCTGCACAGAGGCAAAGTTTCACATTGGATTATTGCACAGGTGGGGAGGAAGGTGAATATAAGACCTCCTTCACATGGATGGCAAGAGGGCTGTAAAACCAGGTGGTTGAGCTGCAGTTTGATTGCGGCTTTACTGCCCCTCGGAAGGTATGCAGTTGCGGTGCCATATTTCAATAGAAAATCCCTATCGGGATTTTAAAAAGCTGCATTGAAGAGAACACAGTATCACCTCCTGAACGCAGGGAAGCCGCTTCTTCACCATGCTCTAAAACACGATCCATTACTGATTGCTTGTGCTAGCCCATCCTCGAGGAATAAATGAGCATATGAGGGGGAGAGGGGGTCACGGCAAGCAAACAAACAAGGCACTGCTTTTCATAATGAATTCAGAGTAGTTATTTTTTCACATGTAAAAGTTGCAAACATATACAGTAGTCCAAAGTATTGCTGTTATTAATATAATAAATCAAATGATTCTCACGTGATTTCACTTTACAACCTAACCAAGTTCTTTTCTTATTTCTTTCAGCACTAACTGTGGACCTTTGCGAGGATCTGAAATGCAGCTGTTTTATGCAATGGTGTTTTCTACATAAAATATTTATATCAACAAGTGTCAGGTCTCTTTATTTAAAGAACAACTCCAGCAGATTCAAGCCAGCCATCAAACCGCTACTGCAATTTGGAAAATACTGTAAAAGGGACCACTGGCATGAAAAATACTATATTCTGAATACTGTGTGCAGTTGTGATGATAGTATTTTGTTTTTTAATTCAACATGACTTTATATTTTTCTCTATGTTTGCATGCAGGGAATCTGTCCAGCAGAGTAATAGTGACAGGGAGTGGGACAAACAGTACCATAACATTGTAAAAAAAGAGAAACACTTAAGCTTCATCAATAAAGTGTGACCATTAAAGCACCCTGTTAGTGTTAGGCGGATTCCTGCGGCAGGAATCCCAGGCGTCCAGTTCATATGTGGCCGCTGTGCTCATTCAAGGTAATAACCGGGTGGCAGCAGCCCCATCTGTAAGTGGCAATCCGTATGTGCTCATATATATGATACAAATACATGCGGTTTGGCATAGATGGCTGTCGCTGGACACAGGACATATGCACCCAGCTACAGTCATCTATTCCAAACAGCATATCAACCGGTCAATACCTTGAATGGGCACAGCGGGCCCATTTGAATGCAGGAATCTCAGATCACTCGGTGTGAAATGGGGCCTTATAGTTGCCCCAGCCCCTGTCACTTTTGGTTTCGAGTAGGAATGAGCTCAGGTTCAGAACTCAGTCCAAACACAAGCTCTCTTGAACAAGGATGTGCCATGGGCACTTCCACCCAATCGGCTGAGGGACAGGCATTCCCCGTCTACAGCTGCATGTAGACAAAGGGGAGGGATGCTTGTGCTGATCTCATTTACATGGCCACATAGCCATATTAGGTATATAAGCATGTAGCCATATAAGGTCAGTGATGTCACTGCACCCCAGCCCTTTGCTTACAGGAATTCCCTGCTCACAGCTGATTGGGCAGCACAGAAGGAGATTCTGTTCAGGAGGGACTGGGGTTTGAACCAGCTTCAGTCCAAACCTGAGCACATCCCTACTTGTCAGCTTGATCTGCATGTACATGTGCAAAAAAAAAAAAAATTATAATTAAAAGGTATTTGAAATTAAAAATAAAATACTATCATTAGTTGTATTACCCACATACAGTTGAGTACTATTTTTACAGTAGTGATCCTTTAATTGTTAAAATCAGAAATGCACTTAGTGTGGCCTACAGCCATGTAACACACATTCACACCGCAGCACTTGTTGTTCCTTCCAGCATCTTGGGAGTAAAATCATCTACACTGCTGTGAAAAGATACTAAATGCTAAAAAAGGAAAAAAAAAGTTACACTCACCCGAACTGCTGAGCCGGCTACCTGCTTCTCCCATCTCTCTAAAGCCTGTCTCCTCCTACGCTGCAGCACTGGAGTTCCTCAGTGTCGTCCTCACATATACACACAGTGTATAGAACGCAATGATTTAGGGACCTTAGACTGCTGCAGTGGAGGGGGAGAGAGGCTGGAAAGACCTGTCTAAGAGCAAGCCGGCTTCATGGTTCGGGTGAATTTTACTTTTTTTTTAGCACATAGACAAAAGTGACCAGTTAACCCTTAGCAGTGTGAGGGTTATTAAAAGTTTTGGCCAGATTTCTTCTTTAAATAAAGAAAAACTTGAAAATATGATGTTTAATAAAGTGTTTCCAAATCCAAGAACAAACATTATCTATTGCAGCTTACCTATCCTTAGGTGTGATGACTGCATTTTTTTCCCCCCAGGTGTTTTTCCCTCCCCCCCTACTGATCTTGGCAGTAACACAGGTCCTGTCTTAGGGTGACAACGCTCACTCACTGTAGTATAATCTATGGTGGAACAGCGTTGCGACCGTAGGACGGAACTACAAAACACCTTCCTTTTTCCTCTTAACCACTTCTGAGCCGCAATACGTACATATACGGCGGCACGCAGAAGTGCTTAAACCAAGAACACGGCTGCTGCTGCATAATCATTTAAAACAGCTGGTGATGGGTGTTCAAGTACAAGCGATCCGACGTCTATGTGCTGACCCCACCCCCTCCACTGCGACAGCTCCTCCGGGTAAACGATCAGAGAGATCCAGTGGCATCCAGCCGCTGATCTTTCCTCCGATCACTGGACCCGGAAGTGATGTGTATTACATCACTTCCGGTGTCACTGTACACGGTCTCCGGCTCCTAGAGCCAGGAGAAGAAGCTGGTGAAGCAGATCTCTGATTCCTCAGCTTCTTTGGGGTTCCTAAGTGACATTAGGGGGTCTGACAGACCCCTGATGTCTCCATAAAACGTACCTGTCACACCCTATCCTATGTGATAGCAATAAGGTTAGCGTAAAAAGTGTTTAAAAAATGAAAAGAAAATTAACGTGACAATTTGTAAAAAATGCAAAAACATTTTTTAAAGTCCCCCACGTGCATGCACAGACATAGGCAAACATGCGTCAGTGCACCTACGTGCAAAAAAAAAACACCGAAAATTGAGCTACACGTGTTACATATCGCCACGAAGGTCAAAGTGAGAGCAAACATTTTAGGGCCATCAATCACTGTTAGCACTAAACTAATGAGCGGTAAAAGCTTTTAAAGTGTCCCCTATGGGAAATTTTGGGTATTGAAGTTTTATGTGGCTTCACAGGCGAACGCAATTTTAAGGCTTGACATGTTTGGTATCTATTTACCTGGCGTGACCCTGTCTTTTATATTTTACCAAAAAAATTGGGTATTATATTCTGTTTCTGTGCACTAAATTTCATTTTAGTGCATTTTATACTAGAAAATATTGGTTTGATAAACATTTGCACAAATACCGTGCGACATAAAAAATTGCAACTAGCATTTTTTTTTATTCTACAGGGCCTCTGCTTTCAGAAAATAGATCATTGTTTGGGGGTTTGAAGCGATTTTCTAGCTAAAAATTCAGATTGTATCTTGTGTGCAAATGTAAGAAATTGCTCCAGACAGCAAGTGGTTAACATAGGGGGTAGGTGTTTTATAGCCCACAGAGAAGGCCAGGAAAAAAATGGAAACTAAAAAAACAAATTTGCAACAGAGACAAAGTGCACAAGCTTTATTAGTGACATTGCTTTGATGAAGGAGTCGTATGTGTCTCCAAAATGTTGCTCTTTTGTGGGACTTTCATTATGCTTCAATAATGGAATATGAAAATGTGCCGGCCGCATATTATGTACTTATATTTATTTTAGACGCTCTTTAATCTTTATGACAAGACTACAAATCAAACTGTTATATCTGGAGTCCAAAAAAAACAAGTATAAAGACAAAACATTCCCAAAGTAAAAATGTCATTTAATAGAACACATTACAATATACAAAAGATCATTTTGACATAAATAAGGTAGTTAAGGCTTCGGCCCCTCAGGCATCTGAATCGTGGATTGTAAAGTTTGAGGTTTTCCTTGTCAAAAAGCATAAACTGTAAAACTGCTCACACCTTCTGATCTAATAACTGCACAAATGCTTAGCTTAGATGGCATAAGATGCATTTTAGTCCCAGAAAAAATAAAATAAAACCAGGCGCCTTATTAACAAACAGGCAAGTCAATATCTGTACTTTGTTGAGTAGTCCTTAGGAGACACCACCAGACCTCTGCCTTTCCTAGCACCACGATAAACCGTTTCCACAATGTCAATCATCTCCTGCTTGTCTTCCATTGCCCAGTTTATCTTGTTATTATTACCAGTTCCCAAGTCAATCATGATGTGCTTGTTCCTGTTGTAAAAAAAACACCAATCAGATGAAAACTACAGCAGATACCTATCCAGATATCAAAAGACAGGATGGAAGATGCAATCAACTGCACATTTATGCGATTCCAGTACAAATTCTTCCATTGCTCCCACCATAATATGAACACTGAATTGCTATACCTTTGTTCGTTGCGTCTCTCCTCTGCAACAAATCTGTTGCTGATCAGATCATATACAACTACGATGTAAAAGTGTCAAAATCTCCTGGTATATGGGCAGCTTAGGCCCCATTCACACTGAACGACATGAAAATCGTGCGATTTTCCGCGCGATTTTATATGTGCGATATTGCGCGACTTTTTCCTATTGGGCTGTATGCAATCAGGAGCAAAATCGCTCGAAATCCGCAGAAAAAAGGGTCATGCAGGAGCGACAAGCTACAAGCGATATTGAGCGGCGAGATGTGAACAGCTCCATTGAAATGGATTGGAGAAGCTACATAGAGCGATATCGCATGGAAATATGAGCGATATCGCTGCAAAAATCGCACGATAAATCGCTCAGTGTGAATGGGGCCTTACAGCTGAACTCCAGAAATAGCCAAAACTACTTTTGCAGTGGGGCTCCACCACCGCAAGGGTTACATGCTCATTTGCCTAGACCAATATTAAAACACAGTTTTATTTACCTTATCCCTCTCACTGGCTTCTTCCTTTCCATGCAACTGGTCCCCTGAAGCCGCTTTTCTTCAGCGCTCCATTTGTTGGTTGCACATTGACATCATCACTTATAATTAGGGATGCACCGTTACCGGTTTTTCAGTATCGAGTAGGAGTACTGATATTTTGGTTGCGGTACTCACAGATACAGCGTACCGATACCGGTGCTTCCGCTGGAATGGAGCTGGCTTCCCAGTCAATCAGGAAGAAGGGAGGCGGGTAATGACATGCCCTCCAGCTTCCTGATTGCCCAGGAAGCCGGTTCCATGTTGTGCGGCCGGCTCGATTGTGATTGGCCGGGAAACCAGCTTCCCAGCCAATCGGCATCGAACCGGCTTCCCCGCTAATCAGGAAGCTGGATGGCAGGTAATGACCTGCCTCCCGGCTTCTTGAATGGCCAGTAAGCCGGCTCCATGTTCCCCTACAACACTGCCGGTCAGAGGAAACCTTCCGCTGACCGGAAGTTTCTGTAACGGAGCATTTGGGTATGGGAGCATTAGATATCGGTATGGGTGCATCCCTACTTATAATGCAGGATGAGCAGCCCTGAATTGTAAGTGAGGACAGCAAGGGCCCGCTGCCCACAAACCGGAACGTTAGAGAGGTAAGTGCCAGCTGCTGCTGGAGCGAGGGACAAGGTATGCAACAATGCTTTTAAATGGTACCCTAGACACGAACAAGCATTTAGCCCTCGCAGTGCAAGGAGAGACCCACTACAAGGGTCACTGAAATTTCCCCAAAGTTCAGCTTTAATAAAAAGGACATTAGTAACATGCTTTCTTCAATTTTGCTGGTTTAAAATAAAAGCGAGCATCCACTGGTTAACCTGGACAACTCCAATATTTCTTACAGCCCATTGTTTTTTTTAATAATCATCCACTGAATATACTGTATACATATAAAATAAATGTGTTTATTGCAAAAAGCAAAGGGAAGGCAAGTAAAAGCAGCTGTGGGGATCGGCATTAAAGTGAACCTGTTGCTTAGCCCTAGTGCAGGACAAATTCCTTCCCCCAGGCTGATTTTCTTGACTTTCTTATAAATACTTATTCCATGCAGGTCCCTCACTGATGCCATGTACTGCAGTGTGACCCTCTCTGACTGGTTCCATTGACACCCCTTAGGCCAACATCAGTAGTCTTATGAATTCTGAGAGGACCCTTCCAGTTGACAGCCAAAGGGAATTGCCCACGTCATGCAGGCAGTGGCATGGACACCCAGAAGGATCGGAGCAGGAAGTAAACGGAGAGAAGGACTCAGCGCTGGATGATGACATGACTGCGACCTAAAGGATTTTTTTTTTTTGTGTATGTGTGGGGAAGCGGGTGATAGAGGGACGGGATGGTGTTTAATTTATGCTGGAGTTGCGTCAGTCAGTCACTTCTGTCTTATATAATCTGAACATGCATGTAACTATCTAACATATAGGCAATTCTGGAGTACCTACCTGAAGAAGAACATGACTGTACATGGATCATACAACTCGTACATCTTGTTGAAATCGGGTACTTCGGTTATATCCACAAGATACATCACTGCAAAGTTTTTTACCTGGAGCAAAGAAAAAAATATAAGAATGTAAGACAAAAACACGACACAGCAAAGTGAATAGGATTAACACATAAATCTTTTATATGTCTTCCACCAAAACGTATACTGCCATTTTGCTGTAGATACCATAATATTAATGATATCCTCTCAGGCATCCCACCATCCCAACTGTAAATGAAATAACAAACCTCAGATGTAGACTAAAGGCACTTTCAGTGGTCTGGTTTACACAATACCACGCAGTTTTTTTGTGGTAACTTTTTTCTCCTAAAACTCATACTTCAGCTAGTGCAAATGCATTGGGCACAGTCATAGGGACATTTTAATAAAGCAGTGAATGTGGCTTTTACCAAACATTCACTGGTGGTGAAACACTATAGAAAACACATGCACCAGGAAGAGTTACCTGCACTGAACGTTTGCTGAATGTTAGTTTTACTGCTTAATTAAAAGGAGAACTATGGGGTCAGGGCTTTTCCCCATAGTTCTCCTAAGGGTAACGGGAGGACACAAACTAGCGTCCTCCCGTCACCCAAAGCTCAGTATACCGCAAGCTACAGCTCGCGGTATACTGAGAAGCCGCAGCCGAGACATTACTGTCTGGATCCACCCAGCTGCGTGAGTGACAGCTGGCTCTGCCTGTCTGGAGGCAGAGCCAGCTGTACCCGCCCTCTCCTCCGTCCGGTTCCACCAGTCAGCGCTGGAGGATCGGACAAGGGAGGGGGGAATCCCTGCAGGGAGCCGTGAGTGACAGTCACAGCTCTCTGCAGGGACAGGATCGAGAAGTGAGCGAGCGACGGTATGTGTTCGCTCACTTCCCGATCTATTGAGCCGACCTGTGACAGTCTCATTGTCACAGGTCGGCTAGAACTATGAGGCTGAGTGATTTTCACTCGCCTCATAGTTCTCCTTTAATGTGCCCCATAGTAAATACTAGACGTGTGAATATCTATCTCAGTACATGAGCATGGGATACACATTATTATTATTATACAGGATTTATATCGCGCCAAAAGTGATTTGGGCTTTTTTAAGCGAATTCCTGAGTAATTGCCCTCTCTAAGGGAGATTTCCTGTTGCCTCTCTAAAACCAAAAGTGAAGTAAATCTCTAAATAAATAAAATAGCCTGGCAGGGGTTTTACCCTTACCTACTCTATCTAAAAAAATATGTTTTGTCTGTACACACACTTGAACTCTCTGACACTATATCAGAAGGTACATGGGGTTAGGAGCTTAAAGCTGGCCATACACCTATAGATGATGTGCAGATTTTCTATGGTCAGATGGAAAAAGTGCAACAGATTCCTCCATCTACGCTAAAAACTGTGTGGATGTAGGAATCTCCCACTGGGCCAAGCTTCAGGATCTTGCTAGTCGGCTATGCTGGCTCTCAAAATACCTGAACAATGCCTGCATTCAATGAGAGTGTTCAGGTATTTTGAGAGAAAGCGGGGCCGACTAGCAAGATCCTGAAGCTTGGCCCAGTGGGAGATTCCTCCATCCGCACAGTTTACGTGGACGGAGGAATCTGTTGCACTTTTTCCATCTGACCATAGAAAATCTGCAGATAATCTATAGGTGTATGGCCAGCTTTAATAACTGCATTGCACCTAGTCCCTGGACGAAATTGTTCTATATGGTCATACTCATATTGGATTTTCTATTGCATCATAAAAATAATCCAGACACAAATCAGCTTGAAGAAAAAAAAAAAACAATAATGAGCTGCTCCGTGTCAAGGTGCTCTTATCTTGGGGACAGATTGCCCATAAGGTATAATACACACAAAAGTGAAGTGCACAGCACATTCAGTACCTGTATTAGAATTTCCCATCTCTATCCTCCATTTTTTAATTTTCGAAAATATGAGATGGCTGCACGGACATGCATTCGACTGAACAAAGATGGAAGCATTCTTTTGCCCTCAGTTCATATAACATGGAGTTGTGAAGCAAATCCTTCTCAAAGCTTTAATGCCCAAGTCTAGCCAAAGAACTTTTGAAGTGTGACTATACTGCAGACAAGATAGAACCTCTGTCAGGTTTGTTTTATTGCTGTCCGTCTCCACTGAGAAGATTTGCCCTCATTTCCTTTCTTGGCGGGGCCACAAAGTGGTGGAAAATCTCTCCAATGGCAATGCAGATGACACAACCCCCCCCCCCTTTTTTTTTTTTTTTAGAAGAGTGAAAATAAAATTGGAACTATTGCTGCAAGTGCCTTCCTGTCCTAGCAACACCACTCATTGGTTGAGTCTCCCGAGTGTCTCCGCGATCTCTCCATCTGTTACATCCACAGCAGCTTTTCAATCAAGGACTGTCAGTCCATTTTGATGCTTTTACATACTGCCTTATTTGCGAGTATATTTTTGTTTACTCTTTTATTGAAGAAAACGTTTTTACCTGCGCCCGGTTGTTTTTTGTTTTTCTATATACCACTTATTGTTGCCCTGATGTGCAAAGGCATAACAACCCATGGGAAACCCTGCCAGAGGTCATAACTCTTCTTCACTATATTTCTATAGTTGGGCTTTTATCTAACATTTTTCTGCACCTAGTATCAAATGTAAATTGTAGGCTTTCACAAGCAGGGTCCTTCTAATCCTTTTGTATGGTGTTGTATTTGTACTCTCTCCCCGTATGTTGTAAACTGTTGGCGCTATATAAATCCTGCATATTAATAATAAATTAAACAGATGGTGGGTCTTTCTTACTAAAGAACTTTCCCCAAAACTATAACCAGAGCTCTAAAGATCACTCTCTGGCCCAAACCTTGACAGTCCCCACATCTCCCTACTTACTAAATGCAATAGGCAGCCTTACTTGGCAATAAAGAGGCAAGAGGTCTTTGTCTACAACCCAGCCCACTAAGTTCTGGTCAATATTTGTATGCAACGCTAAGTTTGTGGCTCCCATGGGGAACGTGGGGAGGCTCTAGTAATTAGCATGTTGCTACCCAGAGGTAACTACTATAGTCTAAAAGGACAGCCTGGCATCTTCAAAGTCCGCACCCTTGGTTTCAAGAAGATCTCCAGTCAAAAAAAATGCTTAAAATGTGCTGGGTATCAACTAGTTAAGTCTCATGAGGTGTTTGCCACTGCCAGGGTCACTGGTGTTTCTATTTATTTTGAATTATGTCAGATAGTAAAGCTATCGCTATGTGTCCAGAGCTTCGGCTCTCATACTCTGAAGTCGCACTGTCCTCCCCTCATCTTCCCGTGTCCATTCAAAGAATGCTTTGTATTTTGTAAATGGTTCACAGCATACAAAACGTTCTGCAAATTGGCAAGGGGAGAGGAGGGGTGGACAAATGACAGTACAGCTTCTGTGTATGAGAGCCACAGCTCTGCTGTTGCAGAGTGATGGCTATACTTCCTGGCATTAGTGAAACCATCAAACAAACACATGGGAACAATCTTAGAGCTGTTTTTGTTCCTGGAGTTCTTTCAGATACAGAAACCTTCCATTTGAATGCAGCAGTCTGTTGTTTAAGCCCACAAATCGAATGGAAAGTCACTCGCACTCCAGATAAATACCAAGTCAGTCTCTTTTTGATTGTAGTGGTGTCACATATCAAAGCGACGTTTCAGAACCAAGTGGTCCCTTCTTTAGGCAAACAGAAATGTTTTTCTGTTTGCCTGAAGAAGGGACCATTTGGTTCCGAAACATTGCTTTGATATGTGACACCACTACAGTCAATAAAGAGACTGACTTGGTATTTATCTGGAGTGCGAGTGACTTTCCATTCGATTTTTGCATGCTTTTGCAGAGACATCTGCTGTCACTACGTTGGATTTTCATTCCAGTCAGGAGTGCAATGGGACACCCTTCTTGTTGGTTATGCCCTGCTTACCTTCTCAGCTATACTATACAAAACTTCGTCCATCTTCATACATGTTGGATCCCAGTCATGCCCAAAACGAATTACTAGTGCACGGTCTTCCTCGGAAAGGATGGCTTGATCAACCTGCCAGCCATTGTGTAAATGAGGAAGCATGTACGACATGTTGACAAATTATCTTTAGTCCTGGAAAAAGAAATGAGAAAAAGTAGTAAATGTGAGATGTAAAATGTCATTTACTATTTGGTGTATGTGGATGTAACTAGAGCTAGGCCTTGTTCACACCAAGCGCGGAGCAGGTGCAGAGCAGCTACAGACTGGGGCAAAACTGCATCCAATGTATTGCAATGGTATTTCTAGCTCCAGTTCGCTTCGCAGAGTTCAGTTCCAGAGCAGGTAAAAAAACTGCAGCAGGCCCTATTTTACCTGCTCTGGAACGCATGCAAACGCATCAAAAATACTGCAACAATGCAGCACAACCCAATGCACTGCGTGTGCAGAAACCCATGCAGATCTGCTCTGCATTTGGTGTGAACAAGGCCTAAGACTCATCTCTTCAAGGAAGCCTATCCCACCTCAACCTGACCACTGAGCTATCACATTCTCAAACAATTCATCCCCACACAGCTACCTCCTCATGTATCACTTCCCCCACCCTTTAGATTGTAAGCCCTCATGGGCAGGGCCCTCCTTACCATCTTGTCTTGTATTGTAATGTCTTACTTAGATTGTAAAGCGCTGCGCAAACTGTTGGCGCTATATAAATCCTGTATAATAATAATGTAAACAGAGTCATCTACACTTCATGTGCTGCAGCTCCACATCAGGGGGCTGGCTGCCTCGTCCTGGTTCTTGCAGATGCCCCCCTATTGACACAGCGACAAGCATGTGTATCATCAAGTGGCCGACTACAAGAACTCGAAGCGTCAGCCGTCTTCTGATGACGTCAAAGAAGATAATGATGGTGTGGCGCTGGCAAGTAGCAGCGGAGTGATGGATCCCTACAGAACAATAGCGGACTCACTGGGCATGGGGCTATGTTATTTGTTGATAACCCATCAAAATAAAAAAAAAAAAGTAAGAGAGGGGAAAAAAAATGTGAGAACAGAAGACAAACATACAAGAAGAAAGAAACATACAAGAGCAGCAACAATATCCTTTATGGCCCTAGAGTCACCTCATCACAGGATCACCTACCCCATATGGTTTGTGTTGATAACACAGTAAAAAACAAACAATCTCCTTTATATCCCCAATATCGCCCAAGAGTCATCAAACTATCACCTACCCTCACTCCACATGAATCTCCGGCAGCTACCAGACCAGCAATGAACTGTGCTGATGATCTCACAGCGTTGCACACGAATTCGCTGGAAATTTCCAGACCGGAATCCTCTGTTGCCATTTTGCAAAAGGGCAAATGCCCCAACGTCTTGTCATTGCAATTAAGAAAAAAATAACAGTCATTGGCAAAGGTAAATTACTGAATGCAATTGATCGTCACCGACATATATTTAAATAGACCTTCTTGAGGACAACCAGTATTCTTACGCCAGTCATGCCCAAATAAAAGATGGCGGCTGCAGATTCCACTGCGGCGAAGTTCCATTTTAACCGGGCAATTTGATTCGGCAGCTTTGGCGTGACATAATATCAGACAACCAATAGGAATGTGCTATTGTGTTCTGAATGTTTTTATCACAACACAAACACCAAAACAATTTTTTACATAAGTCGATGATTTACAGTTTTGCATACCTTCATTTTTTTACCTTTTCGCAAAAAGGCGCAATTACAAATTTGCTAATATTTGTTATTTATTAACTCAATACAGTTTTATCTTTTAGATTTAGTCAAAAAATATTTTTTTTTGTGCACGGATACTGATTTTGGTGTGTTTTAACAATTGAATTGTGTATTTTTATCGGTTTAATATTAATTTGAGAAACATTTGCGCAATTATCGCAGGGCCTACAAATTTAGTATCACCATCTTTTTATTCTACCGGGCCTGCGCTTTCAGAAAATATATGGTTTGGGGGGTCTTTTACAAACGCTAGCAACGCAGCAGTTGAAAATCAAATCAATAGGAAAAAATTGCAGAAAATTCAAAAATGGCTTGGCCAGCTGATTTGAAAAATGTTCCGGAGGGCTTGGCAGCGAAAGGGTTAAGGCCTTGTTCACACCAAGCGCGGAGCAGGTGCAGAGCAGCTACAGACTGGGGCAAAACTGCATCCAATGTATTGCAATGGTATTTCTAGCTCCAGTTCGCTTCGCAGAGTTCAGTTCCAGAGCAGGTAAAAAAACTGCAGCAGGCCCTATTTTACCTGCTCTGGAACGCATGCAAACGCATCAAAAATACTGCAACAATGCAGCACAACCCAATGCACTGCGTGTGCAGAAACCCATGCAGATCTGCTCTGCATTTGGTGTGAACAAGGCCTAAGACTCATCTCTTCAAGGAAGCCTATCCCACCTCAACCTGACCACTGAGCTATCACATTCTCAAACAATTCATCCCCACACAGCTACCTCCTCATGTATCACTTCCCCCACCCTTTAGATTGTAAGCCCTCATGGGCAGGGCCCTCCTTACCATCTTGTCTTGTATTGTAATGTCTTACTTAGATTGTAAAGCGCTGCGCAAACTGTTGGCGCTATATAAATCCTGTATAATAATAATGTAAACAGAGTCATCTACACTTCATGTGCTGCAGCTCCACATCAGGGGGCTGGCTGCCTCGTCCTGGTTCTTGCAGATGCCCCCCTATTGACACAGCGACAAGCATGTGTATCATCAAGTGGCCGACTACAAGAACTCGAAGCGTCAGCCGTCTTCTGATGACGTCAAAGAAGATAATGATGGTGTGGCGCTGGCAAGTAGCAGCGGAGTGATGGATCCCTACAGAACAATAGCGGACTCACTGGGCATGGGGCTATGTTATTTGTTGATAACCCATCAAAATAAAAAAAAAAAAGTAAGAGAGGGGAAAAAAAATGTGAGAACAGAAGACAAACATACAAGAAGAAAGAAACATACAAGAGCAGCAACAATATCCTTTATGGCCCTAGAGTCACCTCATCACAGGATCACCTACCCCATATGGTTTGTGTTGATAACACAGTAAAAAACAAACAATCTCCTTTATATCCCCAATATCGCCCAAGAGTCATCAAACTATCACCTACCCTCACTCCACATGAATCTCCGGCAGCTACCAGACCAGCAATGAACTGTGCTGATGATCTCACAGCGTTGCACACGAATTCGCTGGAAATTTCCAGACCGGAATCCTCTGTTGCCATTTTGCAAAAGGGCAAATGCCCCAACGTCTTGTCATTGCAATTAAGAAAAAAATAACAGTCATTGGCAAAGGTAAATTACTGAATGCAATTGATCGTCACCGACATATATTTAAATAGACCTTCTTGAGGACAACCAGTATTCTTACGCCAGTCATGCCCAAATAAAAGATGGCGGCTGCAGATTCCACTGCGGCGAAGTTCCATTTTAACCGGGCAATTTGATTCGGCAGCTTTGGCGTGACATAATATCAGACAACCAATAGGAATGTGCTATTGTGTTCTGAATGGACTCAATGGAGCGGGGCTGATTAAATCCTGTTCTGAGAAAGTATGGGACTCGTCCGAAGTAAGAAATTGCGTTCCCCGAAATAGTGGTCCCTTACAGGGTGAGGACAGTGTGTTGGCCAAAGCAAGGGTTCATATTAGTCCCAGGCAGGACGCCCCAGCATGTAATAGACACTATATGTAGCTGTCCTTCACACGGACAATTATGTACGTTCGCTCCTAAGTGGCCACTTGCAAATGTATACACCCTGATCGGGTCTATTTAGCGCACACAAGCCGTTTAAATATACAGCACTATGGTATCTAAGGCGAGGCAAGCTGTGCGCATGCTCAGTGTGGCTAGGCATAGCATTGTCCTTTTACATATCCCAGTCTGCAGGGAGCAGAAGACATTTGTCTACAAAGCTGGTAACTAATATACTTCCTATACAGAGCTTGTCACAGCTATTGCAGTGTTAGAGAATCAATGACAATCCAGGGGGGCACATCATGGGCAGGTATGGAGAGGACAACCTCTGGCTGATGCCCCTTTACTGTCAGGCTAATGGAACCCACTTTCTGAGAGTGCCTGGCCATGATCTATGACACCAGAAGGTTGATGTTCTGGAAATGTATTGCTGTACAGTATAGATGTTTGGTGGGTAGAGGCGGGCAATCCGATCAGTCATGTGTGTAAAATAAGTGAACCATGGCATGTGCTGATTTGGCAAGAAGCTGATATTGAGGCAGTCACAGCAGATTGTTCCACAGCGCCCGGCTAAGCAGGTTCAGTATTTTCTGATTAACGCTTTACGGAGTTTTATTTGATAAAATGACAGATTTCTGGGTGGCAGATACCCTCCTTTGTGTGTGTCAGCTGTACATCTCTAGCTGGCTTTTTGTTACATCAAAATCTGTGAGTTAGTTTAAAATATATGTTTGTATAAGGCTAGGTTCACACCTAGGCGATTCAGAGGCTGAGCTTTGTTTTCACGCGGTTGTCGCGTGTTTTCGATTGTGCAACTGTTCATTGTAAACTGCGCGATTGTCGCATGGTTTTCAATGCATAGAGATGTCTATGGAACCTAAACCCGTGCGACAACCGTCCGAAAATAGCTCCTGCGCCTTTTCACGCTACAAACCGCAAAGGTGGTAACAGCCTCCTATTGACTTCAATGCGAATCTGTGTGTTGCGCAATATCGCGCGACTCAAACCACATGGGCAGATTTGATATGGTCAGATGGAAAAAGTGCAACAGATTCCTCCATCTACGCTAAACTGTGTGGATGTAGGAATCTCCCGCTGGGCCGAGCTTCAGTATCTTGCTAGTCTGCTCCGCTGGCTTTCAAATCACCTCAACAATTCCTGCATCCAATCAGATTGTTCAGGTGTTTTGAGAGCCAGCGGAGCTGATTAGCAAGATACAGAAGCTTGGCCAGCGGTAGATTCCTCCATCCACACAGTTTAGTGTAGATGGAGGAATCTGTTGCACTTTTTCCATCTGACCATAGAAAATCTGCAGATAATCTATAGGTGTGTGGCCAGCTTTAGGCTGTATTAGTACTACAACTCTGGTGCAAGTGTGATATTGCATTCCCTTGTGAATGTTTGTGAAATGCTATGTTTAGGCCCCATTCAGACAGGTAAATACGCAAGTCTCACAAATTCCTCCATGCGACTTGTGCAATCAGCTGTGGGGGGCTCTGTACAATATAAAGACTGCTACCACCACCCGCATCTGTTTGCAGGCCATTTGCATGTAACTGTGCATGCTGACTGTTTATGTCCAGGTGCGATCATCTGCAGGTAATCACTGCCTGTGAGATTATATGCAAACATCTGTGGGTGGTGACAGCTGTCATTCTGTTGTACAGAGCCGCCCCCCCCAAAGCTGATTGTGGAGGAATTTGTGAGCCTGCAATCCGGCTCCATTCGCAAGTGTGAATGGGGCCTTAAAATATTCTATAGCAGGGTAATAAATCAAACTATTACCACTCTTCCCCCAAGTCTCCTTTCAGCTGGCCATACACGGTTAGAATTGTGTTCAAACATTCCTATGGAATTCTGAGAAACTGTTAGCCACAGCATTCAATGCTACCATCATTGAGTCGACTGATTTAGTTGGAAAGCCCTTAAAGAAGAACTCCAGGGAAACATTTGATCAACCATTGCAGTAGGGCACTGCAAGGGTTAACTGCTTCTTTGTGTCTAGGTGCTAAAAAAAAGTTATACTCACCAGATCATTCAAGCTGGCATGTTCTTAGACCGGTCCCCAGAGCTGTAGCGGAGGAGGAGGCAGGCTTCAGACACCGGAGAAGCAGGGAGTCGGCTCGGCAGTTCCGGTGAGTATACCTTTTTTTTAATAGCACCTAGACAAAAACAAGCTACCCCTGCACTGGAAGGGTTAATAAATTTTTTTCCCCCGGAGTTCTTCTTTAGAAATGTTGTCCAGGTCGGTTTCTTTTTATTGCGTATGGAATCAATGAAAGAATAATGCAAAGCTAGGTTTATTCTAATTGACAAGGGTGGCTACTTTTGTTCCCCAAGGTCCCTGTGTGTGTTGTAAAGTAGCCACCACTCCAAGCTCGCTCCCGTGATGGACTACAATCTTAATACAAATTAGTAAACTAAACATGAGATTGTAGTCCACCACAGGAGTGAGCTTGGAGCGGTGGCTTCTTTACAACACACACAGGGACCATGGGGAATACCATCATTGAGTCGACTGATTTAGTTGGAAAGCCCTTAAAGAAGAACTCCAGGGAAACATTTGATCAACCATTGCAGTAGGGCACTGCAAGGGTTAACTGCTTCTTTGTGTCTAGGTGCTAAAAAAAAGTTATACTCACCAGATCATTCAAGCTGGCATGTTCTTAGACCGGTCCCCAGAGCTGTAGCGGAGGAGGAGGCAGGCTTCAGACACCGGAGAAGCAGGGAGTCGGCTCGGCAGTTCCGGTGAGTATACCTTTTTTTTAATAGCACCTAGACAAAAACAAGCTACCCCTGCACTGGAAGGGTTAATAAATTTTTTTCCCCCGGAGTTCTTCTTTAGAAATGTTGTCCAGGTCGGTTTCTTTTTATTGCGTATGGAATCAATGAAAGAATAATGCAAAGCTAGGTTTATTCTAATTGACAAGGGTGGCTACTTTTGTTCCCCAAGGTCCCTGTGTGTGTTGTAAAGTAGCCACCACTCCAAGCTCGCTCCCGTGATGGACTACAATCTTAATACAAATTAGTAAACTAAACATGAGATTGTAGTCCACCACAGGAGTGAGCTTGGAGCGGTGGCTTCTTTACAACACACACAGGGACCATGGGGAACAAAAGTAGCCACCCTCCAGAAGGAAGGACAGTGTCAGCACCAATTCAGAGATGATTTGAGGATCTACAGCCGAGTGATACACAAATAGGTTACATTTTTGTTATTAGTTAAGGTACTTGAATGTATTTTTAAAATGTATCTGCTGAGTTTAGTGTCCCTTTAATGTAAATACCTGTATAATATCACTGGGAGAACTTTGAACTGGTTAGGGCTCTGTTGCTTTGCACAAAGGTGTTCTGCACTGTGAACATGCTTACAGACAGTGGGTACATAGGTGGCCTTATATATGAAGTGCTGTTCTTTCATCGTCCATTCAGTAAGTGGGGAAGGTTCTTAAAGGAGAACTATGAGGTGAGTGCTTTTCACTCACCTCATAGTTCTAGCCGACCTGTGACAAGGAGACTGTCACAGGTCGGCTCAGTAGATCGGGAGGTGAGGGAACACATACCGGGTTCGCTCACCTCTCGATCCTGTCACGGCTCTCTGCCGTGACAGGGGAGGGGCTGGATTCCCCGCTCCGGTCTGCCAGCGCTGACTGGCGGAACGGACGGGGGAGGGGGCGGGTACAGCTGGCTCTGCCTCTAGATAGGCAGAGCCAGCTGTCACTCACGCAGCTGGGCGGATCCCGTCATCTTAGTCGGGATCCGCTCCGGCTGCAGCGTCTCAGTATACCGCGAGCAGTAGCTCGCGGTATACTGAGCTTAGGGTAACGGGAGGACGCTAGTTTGTGTCCTCCCGTTACCCTAAAGAGAACTATGGGGAAAAACACTGACCCCATAGTTCTCCTTTAACTATAATAGCTAGCTGCACTGAATTTCAAGGATCTTGCTAGGTCTGGCGGAATAGAGTTACACATACTTTGTCAGGTAAGACAGTTCACATATATGTGTTTCCACTGCGTATTTAGCTGTTCAGAGTACACCTTTTAAGATTGGGAAGTTAAATATTTGTGGGATCCTGCATATTATAGGAAAGATCACAGTGTAGCACAGAAAGTCATTTTAAATCTCAGAAATCATATTATATTTTCCCTTATCAACGTGCTAATGACATGTCAATAAAACCTTTCTGTTTTCATTACCTACTTTATTTCGATCCAGTGATGTTATCACTTGGTCTCTTTGTAATGCAGGCAGACCATGGCTGGCGGGAGGGGCAGTACATTGCTTTCTGGAAATGGCAGACCACCCTAGGTAACACCCATATGTAATGCTAAGGGCATCCATGATCGAAAGAACTGGAATCAATTGGGCTGGGAAGGAAAGAGCTAAAAGTGGTTGGACACCAGGGACCTGCGGGCAGGGGAGGCAGGGCCTCGCCTAGAATCATGCCTGAAGCTGACCGCTTTTTCTCCATTCAGATCGGCATCTAACAGTTTACACTGCAGGGAAATCCTCCCCGCTGTGTAACCTATCATGGACGGAGCGCCTCAGCAGTGAGGAGCAAGTGAGGAACAGGGAGGCTCCTCCCTGTCTCCTCCTTTACACTAGGTCGGGGGTGGGGCTTCGACTGACAGGGGTGTGGCCCTGGCAGGCGGAGCAGGGCTGGGGAATGCCTCACCCGGAGAAAGAGGTACTGCTGAACTAATCTGGCCAGGAAATGAGGCTGGCTCTATCTGACATACTCCAGCTTTTAACGCACATTGTGCTGTGAAATCAGATTGCGCATTTTCAGTACAGATGAAAGAGTAAAGGTAGGGCTGGATATATGTAAAGCATAGCTTACTGTCCATGAATTAGGTTAATTTAGTCACCTCTACCTTGTTCATCTCTTTGTTTCAGTTGCAAGATGGAGACCAGTAAGGAACTGCCTTGGGTACTGGTGGAGGAAATAGGAGGATCCTATGGTGTCATGGAAGAGCATCTGGACTACTTGAAGGAGCGATTTACATTGATCACTATGAAAGAGTTAAAGGAGAAGAAGGAACAGGTAGCAGAAAAGATAGTATGCATCTTTAATTGGGCAAACAAGCCTGATGTTAACAGAGAACTCTTGCAATGTCTTCCCCGACTGAAAGTGATTGCAAGTGCAGGAGCAGGAGTTGATCATTTAGACCTAAAGATGATATCCAGCTTTGGGGTGAAAGCAGCCAACACGCCTAACGCTGTGACCGATTCTACAGCCGACTTGGCCATGACACTGCTTCTTGTGTCCGCCAGGAGTTTTCTGGAAGGTAATGTCAATGAAGGCTTTTATTATCTGCACTTATGTTTTATTCGATGTCTCCTAGCACTAAATGATGATGATAATAATGATGACAATGTTTAGTATGTGAGGTTAGAATGTGATGTGAGAATGTATAGGCAAGTAACAACATGGAATTTGTGAAATGCCGTAGGTATGATATCTGAAAAGTAGGACTCCACCTGGCTACAAAGCAAGTACTGCATACTTCTGGAGATTCTTTTGTTATGGAATAGGGGAATGTAAAATAGGAAAATGAAAGAGGGAGCTACATTAAATGATTGTTGAGCAATACATTTCCATGATCATTTTGTAATATTTACTTTAAGGGTACTTTTTGAAAACATTTTTTATTTTAAACAAAACATATACCATGCATGTCTCCCTTTTAAAAGCCAGTCCAGTCAGACAGAAATTTTTAAAAGAAAGCTATATTTTTCTGTATAAGGGTTTATTCAGTAATATCCGCAGCAGTGGTAATGTGCATGGTACATTGCACTTTCTCTAATTTTATAAAAAAATAATATCTTCCTTTCGAACAGGTTGCAAGATTGCAGTGTCTCCAGAAACTGATCATTTCAAGGCTAACTGGGTATCAATAGGGGATATAACAGGGGCCACTCTTGGCATTGTTGGAATGGGAAGGATTGGATATAAAATTGCACAAAGAGCAAAGCCATTTGGAATGAAGATTTTGTATCACAACAGACATCAAAGGTGGGAACGTTTGAATACTTTTCAGGGACTATTTATTAGGGTTATTATTGTAAAGACTTTATTGATTAACTTTTACCTGCTTGATTTGCCACATATTCCTTCTCATTTCAGAATCAGACATGTAGGTTTTCTTTCTAATAACTATCTGTATGTCACTGTCTACACTATAACCAACATAGACTGCTAAAAGAAAATCAGATACAGGCTAGGGGTGACAAAAATGTAGAATTCTCTTCCACAGTCCGTAGTATCTGCTGATAGCATTGATAAATTCAAGAAACATTTAGTTGAGTTTCTTGAATCCTTAAAGGAAAACTATGAGGTGAGTGAAAATCACTCACCCTCATAGTTCGAGCCAACGTGTGACAATGAAACTGTCACACGTCAGCTCAATAGATCGGGAAGTGAGCGAGCGCATACCGTCGCTCATTTCTTGATCATGTCCCTGCAGGGATTTCCGCAGCGCTGACTGGAGGAACGGATAAGGGAGGGGGCGGGCACAGCTGGCTCTGCCTCTAGATAGGCAGAGCCAGCTGGTGGATCTCGACAGCATTGTCGGGATCCGTCCCGGCTGCGGTGGTCTCCGTATACCATTAGCTGTAGCTCACGATATACTAAGCTTTGGGTCACGAGAGGAAGCTAGTATATGTCCTCCCGTGACCCTTAAGAGAACTGTCGGGAAAAATACTTACCCCATAGTTCTCTTTTAAATATACAGGTATATGGGAACTACTAGAGCCAAGAATATACATACATAGGTTGAACTAGATGGACCTGTGTCTTTTATTCTTCCTTACCTACTTTGTAAGGAGGGCAATCCTTCCCGAAGTCAATGAGAAGAGAGGAGTATAATCAAATATGAACTGTTTCTGTCTGTTACCTGAGAAGCAACAGTGGGTCCCAGTGCTACAGAGGATGGGCAGGTGACTCTCTAGCCATCATTCTGGGGGAGACATTCCTCCATCCACGAGGAATCTGTTAGATTTCTGTCGTTCATCCCCATAGGCTTCAGGGAAAAAAAAAAAACTAATCCTGCATGGGAAGCTTTAATTTAGTGACCTGCAGAGGGATATCGATAGAGAGATAGTAAAAGCTAAGCACTGTGCTGCACTGCTAAGCCCAAAGCGTGTATATGTGAACATGTGTTTGCAACCAACTGGCTGTATTCTGGCTGTATTCATGAGACCACCTTTGCCCATACTTAGGGATATTCAAAAGCGTTAAGTGTGTTGTCCAATTTAAAGAGATATCATCATCTCTGGAGCCCCTGTTTGGTCTCTCTAGGTGTTCCCCTGCGCTTGCCATTTGGTATTTTGGTGCAACTATTTGTATATGCATTAAATACCTCCATTATCCACTATTAGAGAAGCAATTTCTATAGCTGCAAAATGCATAATGTCTTCTCCATATTGCCACCTACTTTATTACTGTGTGAATAGATTTATCTGAAACTAGAGCTGCAACAACTAATCGATTAAAATCGATGATGAGAATAGTTGGCAACTATTCCCATCATCGATTAGTTGATTTTCGATTAGTTGCTGGCAGCGGAGGGGGGAGCAGCGGGGGATTTCCGAGTCACCGGCCGCCGTGTCTTCTCCCTGCTGGTGCTGGCTGCAGCGGTCAGTGTCTCTTTCACAGACCGCTGTAGCTGGCACGAGAGGGGAGAAGAGACTGCCGATGACTCTGAAATCCCGCGCTGCCACCCCCTTGTACCTCTGCTGCTGCTGCTCCTCCGTCCGTCCATCTGTTAAGACATTTCACAGTGCTACAAGTGTCCGCTCCTTTTCCACTTGATTAAACTGTTTCCATTTGGTTGTTTATCTCAAAGTGTCAGCTGTCTGTGCTCCTTATTTGTTTAATAATGTGCTCACCAGACGTACCCAGAAGTTTACGCTCTTAATCAAAGAAGGGAAGGTCAAGATGTACGGCTTCTCTCCTCTCCTCTCCTCCCCCGTGAACATACAGAACGGACCTTCCCTTCTTTGATTGAGAGCGAAAACTTCTGGGTACATCTGGTAAGTGCATTATTAAACAAATAATACTTTCTCCTTCTGTTCCCTCCTCTGCTGATTGACAGCAGGCAGTGGGCGGGTACAATAGCCAGCTTGCTTTTGCAATTTAAAATATCCAATAGCAGGCTGGCTATTACTCACAGACACTGCCTGCTGTATTTACATTCAGCTGCTTGAAAGTCCCCCAACCCTGCAAACGCGCGTATACTAACAGAAACACAAGTCGGTTGCACCTACATAGAAAAACAACGATTGCGCTACACATGTCAGGTATCGCCGCGTATTTTATTTTAAATTAGATTTGTTAAAATCCAACTAATCGATTAATCGGCTAACTAATCGGTTATGAAAATATACGTTAGCTGCAGCCCTATATGAAACGCATAGATTCTGCAGTTAATTCATGTTTGGGTATTCTATATAATTACCATAGTAGGGGTAGATGGGGTTATATGGCTGGAAGTTTTGCTTTAAGCAAGTGAATTGGTTATGCTGCAGTGGTCTTATGACAATTTTTACTTGTGAACATTGAATAAAATGTGTAATTTTAATGTTTATGTGGGTACATTTTAAAAGTCCTTTTTTTCACATGAAATTGCTGTACATTGCCCTTATTATGATTTCCCCCACGTTCATTAAGGATAGAATTGACAAAAAAAAGTGTAATTAACACCTTGAAGAACCCTGTTGTATCTTGTATAAAACACTCAAAACATAAAACTCAGCAAAAAAAAGAATGTCTGTGTTGCCTACAGTTTCTATACTGGGTCCAATATGCCTGGACTTCTCTCTGCAATGACATTGTAGTCAAGTTCAATCTTTGGTAATCATTAGTCATACTGATCATTATTTAACCAAGGGAGATGGCAGAAATGGCTTGAACCTTGACCGCAATAACTGAATTGACCAGGAACATCCGAAAAGAAGCTGTCCCTAATATCTATTAGTATCTGCCTAGGGACTAATCCCTCAACTGATTAATACCTGAGCCATGCAGGAATGTTTAAAATAATGTGATGATCATCACATTGCCTGATGAGGGCACCCTGCATGGACTCAAAACGTTGCAATATTATATTGTAATATCATGATCGCTTAACATCAATAAAGGTTCTTGATGATGAAGATGTGCGGGTGACTCGCTTTTTACTTTGTATCTGTGAAGCGCCATCCGCTTGTTAATACAGCACCCACGAGGAAATAATAGGGACATAACAGTTAGGTGTGGGATAGCCGTATTAATCTGATGGTACCTAATAGTGTCTACTCTTCTGTGGTTGCATTAATGAAATGTAATATTTACTGACAATAAGTACATTTTAGGCATATGTAAAGTAATGAAAAAAATACGAAAAACAGTTTCTGATATATTTGTTGCAATATGTTATTTCTTTATTGAATGGCAGTCTTTTAATCTGGCAGACCTCCCAAGATACCCTTAGGCCTCTTTCACTTAGGTCCACCTGTCAGTTTTTCAGCCAGACACGATGGGCTGCTCTATGTGTCCATTAACACCCGGTCTGTCTAGGTCCGAAACAACAAAGGAATCAAGAGATCTGTTTCATCGGATCGTGCCAGACCGGGGGTAATCTGAAGTAAACTGGCACATGTCTGTTTACTTCTGATTCCCCATAGACACATATGGGTTCCGGCAGGGTTTAATTTTTGTTCCTCCATTGCAAGATGGAGGAAAGAACCGTACAGACACGGATGTTACAGAGGTGACATCTGCTCCACACTGCTTTGATTAGGAGAGGATCTGCTGACTGAGTGAAAGGGGCCTTACCTGTCCAGCACCCTGCTCTCTGCTTCAGTGATGTACGGCAAGATCATAGAGTGGGATGTACAACACTCTTCTGTCTTACAACACTGTATATTATTATTTAATCATGTGAACATTTCTTGCAGGCCGGAAGAGGAAATGTCAGTTGGGGCCACATACTGTGAAAATCTGGCAGATTTGCTCCAGCAATCAGATTATGTAATGCTGGTTGTGAACCTAAGTCCACAGACAGAAAAACTGATTGGGAGAAGAGAATTTAAACTAATGAAGCCCTCAGCAACTTTGATTAATGTTAGCAGAGGTTTGTATAAGTCTGCTATTTCTGGCCTTTGTGTGGTAGAAACGAAATAGACCTATTGTCTTTCATCTTCTAACTATATGTGTTTCCCTGTGTTGCCTAATCACAGTTCTTTAATAGGAAATGTAGGAGTTACACACACAAGGCTGGTAGATCCTTGCATCTCCCACTGAATCTTGGAAGACCACTAGTGCATAAAAGTACCAACTAGTTGCAGGCATGTTAAATTAGAAAAATGTATTTTTCCCCAATTACTTCAGTAGCAGCATGTTACCTCCTTTATTGACAGGCCAGTTTTCAGCCAAGCCAGTTTTCAAGTTTGACAGAGAATTCCTTGTTACGCAACACTGTAACCAAATTCTTTATATATATTTCTTTTTTTTTTAAGTTTTTTTTTTTGTGTGGTATTTAACTTTTGTTTTATTGTTTACTATATAAAGTAAAAAAGACCACATCATTTATTTTAAAAAGCCTGTTTCTCTTACTTCCGTTTGTCCGGAAAATGCGAAAACCCTCAAAATGACCCAATTTTGGAAAGTAAACACTCCAAGGTGATCTAATTTCTTCTCTGCAATTTTTTGGAAATGAAGAAGCATGCCGGTATTGAAGGGGTTAAAACCTGGAACTTGGTAATATTGCAGAAGATAAAATAAATGTACAAGTCATAGACAAAGGGAGGAGGGGGTGAAGGGGTTAAAGGATAACTATGGGGTGAGTGAATTACACTTAACCCCCATAGTTAGAGCCGCGGTGTGACATTGAAACTGTCAAGTCAGCTCTATTGATCGGGAAGTGAGTGGAAACATCCTGATTGTCTCCCTGCAGAGAGTGATGACTGTCAGTCACCGCTCCCCACAGGGATTCCGATCCTCCAGCGATGACTGGAGGGACAGACGGGGGAGAGGGCGGGCATATCTGGCTCTGCCCCTAGATAGGCAGAGCCCGCTGTCAATCGGCCAGTGGGGTGGATATCGACAGTATTGTCGGGATTTGTTCTGGCTTCAGCGCTCTCAGCATACTGTATATTGGGCAATAGCCCACTATATACTGAGTTTTGGGTCACGGGAGCACGTTAGTATATGTCCTCCCGTGAACCTAAAGAGAACTATGGGGAAAAAAGGTTACCCCATAGTTCTCTTTTAATGTACAGCTGTGATCAGCCAGTCAGATTGGCTCTGCGTACATAGCTGCGGCTCCCCACTGCCTGCCCATATTCCTGCATCTACCTAGAGCGAGGATGGCTGGACGCCGTATGAGATGGTTTAATGCAGTTTGAAGCTTTGGATTGCAGTAAAAACCTGCTGGGAGTTCTAATCATTCCTCATTCAAAAACTAGAAAAAACATTTTGGCTTGTGTTTCAACAAAGTGTATTGTTTCTCTGAACACTTAAGAACTGTTTACACTGTGCACATTGTTTGCACAAAGGTCTAAATGTTAACCCGTGTCTACTCTCTGCTCATAGGTCCAGTCGTTGATCAGGATGCTTTGGTGGACGCTTTAAAAGAGGGAGAAATTAAAGCTGCTGCGCTAGATGTTACATATCCAGAACCCTTGCCTAGGTAACTTCTTAGGACTGAACATTTTAAACCTGCATCCTTACCTTTTTTTTTTTTCATCAGAGCTTTAGCTTGTGAACACTAAGTGACTTGCTTATTTAAATTATATTTAATAATGCAGAGCACAACACAGCAGTGGCATGGGGGCAAGTGAGAGGAACCACACAATCTGACGGGGGACACAGGTATCCAACTCATTTAGAAGTCTGTCAGATGTGAAGGTTCTTAAGGTGGCATAGCTTGCTGCAGAGTGAAGATTCAAAAAAGAGTGCCATAAAGAGTATCATAATTAGGCCATGCTTAGAGAAACATTAAAAGTAGATCAAATAAAGTACTTCTGCTGCCTTGTGGTTTATACACATTTAAAGGAGAACTATGGGGTCAGGGCTTTTCCCCATAGTTCTCCTAAGGGTAACGGGGGGACTCAAACTAGAGTCCTCCCATCGAGAAGTGAGCGAGCGCTGGTATGTGTTCGCTCACTTCGCGATTTACTGAGCCGACCTGTGACAGTTTCATTGTCACAGGTCGGCTCAGATTATGAGGCTGAGTGAAAATCACTCACTTAATAATTCTCCTTTTAAGAACTCACTAGACTAGGTCACAAATTGATTGGTTGTTATGTGTATTTCAGCAGTACAGTAAGAATGTTGCCTGTGTAGAACAGTGGGGCTTTTACAGTCTTTAAATGTTTAGAATTACTATATAGAATAATATAGAATCATTCTTTTACAAAAGAAGTGGCCTAACAGATTGAGTCCAGGAATACTTGAAAGAGAAACTGATATTTGATGTCTTTTATACTTTTTCATTTCTTGAATACAATATTTGTTGTACAAATAAATATACAAGTATTATTAAAACATATGGGCATATTTATAAAGTAGTGAATTTGACATTCACTAAACATTCGCCACATATAAGTTAATCGTGATATCTCCTAGAAGGTACGCCTCATCAAATCACCATTTACAAGAACCATAAAAACCTCCAGTGTTTACAAACTGCCCTTGTTCTTCTCTCGCTTTGAGTTTGTGATCACATTCTAACCCGGACTACCAATACCAGAACTGATGCTCTCTCTCTCGCTCCTATGAGTCCTAGGAACCCAAGGCCCCCTGCGGAGCCAGACCTCATTATTTCAACCACTTGTATCATGACCCTGACTTCTACTCAGGAATCTGCTATTCCCCCTGGCAGTACTCTAGTGCCATCAGAACTGAGAACTAAAATCCTACTTTGAGCCCAGGACTCTAAGCTCTCTGGACACCCTGATGTCCAAAAAAACTCAAGCAATTTGTGCCCAAACCAAGTCACCAACACTGGAAGCCCCCTTCTACTTTTACCCATTCCCGGGGAACCATGGCACCATTTTCCCATGGACTGTATTACTGATTCCCCACTTCTTGTCTAGGAAACTTGGTGTTGCTGAAACTACAGTGTGGGAGATCAAGAGTACTTCCCTCAGGTACTTACCGATACCAATTACCGATACTTTTTCTTAAAGGGGCAGGTGAAATTTTTTCTAAAACAATACAGACTAATGATTTTAGTTCAGTTTCTTTATAATTATGAAGAACTGTAACTGAAACCATGATTATTCAGCAATGGAGAATGACATCCAGCAATAGAAGATTACAGATCCCATCAATCTATGATTATAGAGCAATTCTATAAGGCTATGTGTGGTCCCACAAGGGCTGCGTTTGGGCTTAACAAGGGCTGCACACTAGGGTCCCGTGATCTAGGAGCTCGTTGAGGTCTGGGGGCTGAGGAAGATAGAGCAGCCAGGGGAGGGGTCCCAGGAGCAGGGTTTGAATGGTGACCGTCGAGTAGGATGGCAGCAGAGGTCATTGTCTGATTGCTGGGAGGCCTGATGCAGTGCAGAGGAGCTGTGGTAGGCGGGGAAGCTTGCTGGCTTATGCAGCTTACTTGCGGGCCTGCCAGTATCGTGTGTAGGCTGTTGTATATAGGCCGGCTCGCCTGTAGCTGGTGGAGGGTATTCGGAGGAGCAGCTGTCAGGAGAGTGGCTCGGTGAGTAGGCTCCATCAGTGGCAACTGTTGACTCGGAGCGAGAGTCCGAGGTAGACACTTGGTCTGGCACCGTATTGGTGTACTGAGGCGGCTCAGGAAAGTCTTGCGGTCCAAAGGAAGTTTTAATGCCCAGTGGAAACAGAGTGGGCTGGCGGGAGCTCCCTTGAGGCTTAGAAGATCTGTCGGTTTTATTCTTGCCCATTGGGCAGACCAAAAAAGTTCCAGAGCATGTGGAAAAACTGCAGCATGCCCTATTTTTTCTGCTCTGGAACACACCAAAACACATGCAAACACATAAAAAACGCATGCAAACGCCCTGAAACACACTGAAAGCCCATTTTAGGCTAAAAATAAAGAAATTGTCCAGGAATGCATCAGAAAGGCGGCAAAACACACTGCACTGCTTGTGCAAAAACTCATGCAGATCTGGTCTGGATTTGGTGTGAACAAGCCCTAAAATCTCTACCTTTGCCAGATAGACTATGGACAGTGCTGTCTGTCGACTTCATTTTTGAACTACCTCCATCAGAAAATTGCGCTATTTTCTTAGTAGTGGATTGCTTATCCATAATGGCACCTTGCTTGCCATGGAAGGGACCCCCCTCTGCAATTGAAACTGCTGCCATTTTTGTTTGAGTACCCCAAAATAATTGTTTTGGATTGAGGGTATATTTCACCTCAAAATTATGGAAACAGCTTTGCAAAGTATTGCCTTTCTTCAGCATATCATCCACAAAGCAATGGACAAGGGGAATGCACGAATTAAACTCTAGAGTAATACTTATGTTGTATTCTCTTCCTTCTTATAAGATGACTGGGCAAAACTGCTTCCATCATTGGCAGTTTTCATGTACTAATTTAGTCCACTCCGTCACCAATCCCCATTTTTTTTCTTTTTGTTTTTTATTTACTATGGGTTCCATACTTCTCTTCTCCCTGATAGAATTCTGGAATACTCTATACCTGCAGTACAAGAAAGGGTGCCATTTTTTTTTACCTCTAAAAATTGTATTCTATAGGAGTCTGTATTCAGACAAAATTAGGAGAGACGAAGTGAAGCTCAAACCGGGGGAAATGGTATAGCTATCTACAACTAATCTAAAACTTGCCTGCCCCTCCAGAACACTGGAACCCAAGTTTATTGGCCCCTCATTGGCCTATGTTGCTTATGAGCATCTGTTGCCTAAAACATATAGGATCCATTCCATAGGGTTGATTTACTAAAGGAAAACAGGCTGTACACTATGCAAGGAAATGTTCCCTTAGCTTAGTAAATGAGGTGTAGCTTTGCTGACTTTACATAATCCAATCATGTGCAAGCAAACATACTGTTTTGTTTATTTCCTTGCATGTGATTGGGTATTCTTTGCAAAGTGAATTTTCACCACATTCACTGAGCTAAGAGACAATTCCCTTACAAAGTGGACAGCCTATTTTGTCTTTAGTAAATCGCCTCCCATGTCTCAATCCTCAAACTATCTATCTATGATCCTTTTCTTGAAAGTCCTGTAATAGTGGAAGGGAGTGAATATTTTGAGGAAGAAGTTATCCTCATTTGCAGAAAAAGGAGGTCAAACACAATATCTTATCAAGTGTAAAAGGTTTAGCCCAGAGGAAAATTCCTTGAAATTGTCAATGTGCATACTCCAAGCCTTCTACAAGTTTTCTTCCAGAAACACCCTGAGAAACATGTCCTGAGAGGCGCTTGGAGGTTGCTTATAAGGCCATTATTCTCCACACTGTGGCCAGGCATTCACCTCTACATATGGGCTTGGGCATATGATTGCGTACTTCATGGCACATGTTTCCGTGCATCCTTGGGCATTTGCACATGTCCAGTATTGCTGCTAAATGGGCTTTATAAGGCTATGCCCCTTCACGCCTCCAGCTGTTACCTGCCTTTTACCTGATCTGTAACACTGTCTCGCCATGAGATCAGATGCTACAGCTTCTGCTCCTCTGTTGCCCCTGTGTCATCTGTTGCCACTACCGGGTCACCAGGGCCAAAGAGGTAAGAGTGGCTACACTCACCACTCTGTCTCTGATCAGGTATGTGGCAAGACATGAGAATGGTACTCTTGAAAAAGGCCTGATGTGGAGATTGTCGTGTTATGTCTGAGTTGCTTGAGACCGGGAAGTAGCATTTTGGTATGTAGAAGCAAAACCAATACGTTTAACACTAAGGTCTTTATGGAAGGAGCACAGATAAGCTATACATTTTAACAATTTAATGTGACTCATGGATAACCACATTTTTAATCGCACTATACATTTTACTCTTTGGCTTGCTAAATGGAGGACTTTGTTAAACAGTTTGTTTAATGTATTTTGATATCTTACTTACTATTAAATTCACATTTTTTTCAGAGATCACCCACTGCTTAAATTGAGCAATGTTATTATAACTCCTCACATGGGCACTGCAACATGCGATGCTCTACGTGCTATGATGGAAGATATGGTACAGAGTATAATGGATGCTGTTAAGGGTCACTCGATTTCCTATGAAGTCACTGACATCTAACTCAAGAGTTAAACATTTTTGGTATTTTATTCCTAACTTAGTGCAGCGCCCATTTAACATATTCAGTCAAACCAGATAAGGTGTTTTGAGATAGCAGAAATGAATGTCTCTTACACAATGATGTGCTGCTTGTGCATATTCTTAAGGGTGTGATTGATATGTGCATTTGTTTTATGTTTGGAAGCATCCTACATTTCAACTGTCCAGGATTCAAACTTAAAGTGAACTAAACTCCGGTATTAAATCTTAAAAATGCATTCAAGTACCTGAACTATTAACAAAAATGTATGTTATTTGTGTATCACTCGGCTGTAGAAACTCAAATCATCTCTGAATTGGTGATGACACGGTCCTTCCTTCTGGAGGGTGACTACTTTTGTTCCCCATGGTCCCTGTGTATGTTGTAAAGAAGCCACCGCTCCAAGCTCGCTCCTGTGGTGGACTACAATCTCAATACAAATTAGTAAGTTAAATGTGAGATTGTAGTCCATTATGGGAGTAAGCTTGGAGCGGTGTACTTTACAACACACACAGGGACCATGGGGAACAAAAGTAGTCACCCTCCAGAAGGAAGGACCGTGTCATCACCAATTCAGAGATGATTTGAAGATCTGCAGCCAAGTGATACACAAGATACAGTATTGTTAATGGTTAAGGCACTTAAATGTATGTTTATGATTTAACTCCTGAGTTTAGTGTCACTTTAAGTCTGTGAGTTGATCAGATCCTTGGATATTATTTGTCTAGGGATCTTCCTGTATGCTAATCACTACTTTCTAAGCCTTACATTTTGATTTGTAACACTTCTCTGAATAAACTTTTGAAAACTGTCAACGTGAGCAGAGGTTTTTGATTTCCTTATCATAACAAACTTGTTATCCATTTTAAATGTATAGAAGTAAAAGCCCTGCCTAAGAGCAGATGCCACCTTATACTTTCAGTTACCTTTTGTTAGCCTCTCTAAAACTAATTTCATCATCCTGTGCTCTAATAGAGTTGCTGTTGATTGCTGAGGCACTTTTATTGGACATTGGGATGGCATTTGGCAGGGTTTAGTCCTGAAGTCATGCCTAAATAGCAAAGTAAAACTAGTTTAAAAGAGCCACATAAAGGAGTCTTTTCTGGCAAACAAGGTTCATATCAGACATAACCGAAAGCTAACACAAGACATCCTATGTTGTCCATGCTTACGAAGAAATTCCTTTTAAATGTTTAAACTCTTGCTAGGCACACTATAAGGTAGAAAGAGCCAGTGCACTATTAACAGAGTATTCCTAATGGTGTAGATAAGTCTGTGTGTCATTTTTGTGGTTTACTAGATTCACAGTGCAAAACTAAGGTATGCAGTATTTTTTGCTTTATCAAAGCAAAATGTTAGAGAAAAAAAAAGAATTTGTTTGTTCAGAACATACCTGGTACATTGGATTATAAACCTGACATCACTGATGATCTTGCTCCTTGTACAGGGTTGGGTCATGAAATTAGGGGCAATCCTTTTTCTGTGTAATGATGTACAGGGATTACAAAGGTTTGTCGGGCAGTACAGCTAGAACTCCATTTATAAGTGACCTGTGCATTCTTATGTCAAAAATACCCCCAATTGCTGCTCACCCAAGCCTTTGTGTTGGGTAGTCAGAGCACTTCACTGTGCAGAAAACAAGGAGGTTAGATTATATTGGTGATATAATCTAACGCAGAAATGGTACCACCAATGTCAACAAGCAGTTGGAAAAAGCAAACTGATTGGAAGAATTTATAAGGGTGTGTTGTGGAAATTTTATTAGGATGTGTTTTTAGTGTATTGTAATATTTTGTCATTATGTCTCTCCGTGTCAGGGTTTGCTGCGTCACGCCCAATTGGAGCGTGACCCGGTTTAAATCCCCACTAAGAGTAAACCATTGGAGTAGATATCTTATGCGTGGCGGAGCAGTGTCTTCTTGGCGAATGTAGGGACGCTGGCTAGGGCCCCTGCGCGGTGCGCAGATTTATTGGCTTGCGTGGATGCATTTGTTTTGAACTCAGTATATGAAAGGACCGTGCGTTTGTTGTCTCTAGTGCGCCTGATCAACCGCTGGAGATAATGACGTTGTCCCTGTAAATAAGCACGCATGAGAATCATAGTTACGTTATTGGGCATTGCTGACTGAGCTGTGCTGAATAAGGTTCGCTCCAGTGCTAATGGTTTGTGGGTCTGGAAAGATGGTGGCTAGGAAAACATGCGGCTGTGCACACAGGTTTAATTATGTGCACACCGCTTCTACTACATGTGCTTTTTTGACTGGCCATGTATTGAGGAAGTGATGTTGGTTGTTAACATCACTTCCTGGTTGTTGACATCACTTCCTATTTGAAATCACTTCCTAGTTTGCTGTGTGAGACATCACTTCCTGTCTGACATCACTTCCTGTTGGGCAGCTATAAAAATAAACAAATACCTGTGCTGAGGGTCTCTAAGAATGGAACCAGCAAGAAAGCAACACCTGTCTCCTGTGTCCTAACTCTACATGACTCTACAGAGGTACTTCCAGTCCTTGCACAAAAGAGCGTAATACAACTGTGCTTTTAAGCACGGGGGAAATTCTTTGTGTTTGGCATACTTTGGAGCAGTTTAATGCGGCATGGATTTGTGCGTTGAACCAAGCAAATTTCCATAACAGGTGTGATGGAAAGTCTAAAACTGCTCCTGAAAGAGCTTGCCACCACTATTGGAAGTTCCCAGAAAGTCTAGCGGAATCTTAGTAAGGTGGCTTGCAAACTTGTGTGATAACCAGTGTACTTTTTTTTTTAACACAGTGCCTTTTTGTTTTTAGAACCTGATGTATGAAAAGTAGGTATGCACCGATACTAGTATTGGTGCCGATACTGAGTATTTGGGCGAGTGCTCTGATACTTACTCCGATACCGGAACTTCTGGTCAGAGGAATTCTCCCTCTGACCGGCAATCCTGTGAGGGAGCATGGAGCCAGCTTCCCGGCCAATCAGGAAACCCGGCGGAACGTCATGACCCACCTCCCAGCTTCCTGATTTGCTAGGAAGACGGCTTCACTTGTTGCTAGGCAGCCTGGCTTCCGGGCCAATTAGGAAGCGGGGCGGCACATCATGAGCCGCTGCCCGACTTCCTGATTGGTCATGGAGCCAAGCTACCTGACAACAAGTGAAGCTGGTTTCCTAGCCAATCAGAAAGCCGGTAGGCGGGTCATGATGTGCCACCCAGCTTCCTGATTGGTCAGGGAGCTAGGCTGCCTCGGAACGTGAAGCCGGTGTTCTTTCAATAGAACACTGGTATCCCAGGCAATCAGGAAGCCAGACCCACAGTACCCCAGGATGCCGGTATTGGCGAGTACTGAAAAAAAAAAAAAATATCAGTACTCGATACCGAAAAACTGGTATCGCTCCATCCCTAATGAATAGTGTAATATCAAAAATGTCATCTTGCCTATACTACTTATCAAATTTCTGCAGATCTGGACTGAAAAAAACAAAGGCTCTGGCTGCTCTGGGCACATAGAAAACAGACACATAGGGATGTGTTTATAAAATGTTCACCCAGCATGGGGTGTGAGAAGCATATGACAATTTTATGCTCCTCTGCTCCATCTAGTAGCCTTAATGTGCTGCAAATCTAAAATTCTGATGTTCGCTCTGTGAACGTTTTTATGAGTACACGCCTTAGACTGTCTAAAGATATTTAATACTAGGCAATGCCATTGTTTCTTTTTAGAAGACTGTTCCCATTTTTAACTCAATTCATATACTTGTCTTTTAGAAATCATCTACTATTAAAACTGAGCAATGTTATTATAACACCACACATGGGCAGCGCAACTCACAAAATCAGACGCATCATGATGGAAGACATGGTTCAAAGTTTGATCGATGGTATAAATGGCCTTCCTGTGTCCAATGAAGTTTCTGCCAAGTGACATGAAGGATCCTTTCGACAGTCTCTTACATATATCTTCCTTTCTGCACTCCACCATCTAAACATGAGTCATTCTGACAGCTAACACTCTAGGTTTGGCAAGCAAAGTTGCTGTTTTTTAATTTCATTTTACTTTTTTTTGTTGTATTAAGGGTTTGTTTCCACTAATGCCCTTCCACATATTTTTGGCAAACAAAAGAACCCCCAACCTGCACTAGGAACCTTCTTTCATTTGAAGCGGAAAACTAAATAATTATCTTCCACTCCAGTTAGAAGTAAAATTTATTTGATGCTCTCTTGAAATTGCAGTTTCACATAATGCACCTCTTAAATATGAATTATGTGTAAAGCAGACATCTAGTATGATCTCTTTAAATCATTGTATATAATATATATTTTTGGTGCTTGAAGCCTTTGTGATTGTTGTCATTTTTAATAAAATATAAAATTGTTATGACTACTGGTGGCCAATGCTGTTACCTTTCTATAGCTCATGCTCACATTTTTTTTGTATGTTTTAAATATAAAGAAGATCAATCTTCAAAAACATTTTATGAGGCAGTAAAAGCTATGTTGCAGATTATTAAGGATAGTTTAAACCTACGCATTCAAGGAAATTGGATCTAGATTCTTGTCCATGTTTGGCAACAAAGCAGTTTGGACTTAGATTAGACATTCTTGGTGCTTCCTGTGGCGCGTTCAGCGCCACCCAGTGAATGAACCCAGAAGCCATGATGATTTTCAGGGTTATTCACAAAAGAGGTGAAGAGTTTGGAGAAGACCGTGTCCATTCTTCTACTTATGTTTTCAAGACAGTAGCCATCCGTCGACAACCGTTGCAGCCACCAATGGAACAGTGGCCCTGAGTTCCGTGGGTATATGGACTGTAGCCTAATGGAAGTAACAACTCCTTTTTTATGAAGACATTGGAGGTTTATTGACCCCTAGTGTCAGCTATGAATCCCACTGAAGCTGATGAAGCACATATCATGCTTCAAATGCTTCTTCTCTGGCCACAGCAGCCGGAAGAATGACAGCCCGAAACCAGAAGACAAGCAGGGTTATTCACAAAAGGTGAAGAGTTTGGAGAAGTCAGGAGAAGTGAATAATCTAGGACAGTGATGGCGAACCTTTTTGAACCCGAGTGCCCAAACTGCGACGCAAAATCAATTTATCTCAAAGTGCCAGCGTTGAAAATAAGTTTGGTATTGCAGTTTGGGAGCTCGGGTTTAAGAAACGTTCAACATCACTGCCTAACAGCTTTGTATGGCTCTCACGGGGGACCTGAACGTCCCGGATCGCCTCTGTAGTCGGGCCGGTCACAATCAGGCAGCAGTGGTGACCTCTAAACAGGCAGATTAGACGGCCGCTTGCGGGGGCCTCCCGGGGTCCTAGCGAGGAGGAAGCAGCCGTCTAACCTACCTGTTTATTTGGAAGCCGGGTCAGTCGGATCTATTTCATTGGTGGTCCCTGAACGCAGTGGTGTATTCTGGTTTGGGGCTGCCCTAGGCAAGGCAAAACACGGGCGCCCCCACTAAATTTACCCCACCCCTTCCTGTTTAATACTTATTGCGTGACCTTTCAGTCGCTGTATACAGTGCAAACACTGTATCCAGCTTTTGACATGTTCCGATATTAGCATAGCAGGAAAGCTGTGGTCTCAGGGGGATTTAGCAGGATTTGTGGTGAGCTCTACGGGGTCTATGGTGGGCAGAGCCCAGTCAGTGGTGAATAAATACCACCAAAAGAAAGCTCTATCTGTCCCCAAAAAAGGGTATAAAATTAATTTCAGTACAGCGCTGCATGACGGAATAAATGTCAGTCAAAGTACCGCAGCGCTGAATACTGAAAAATGGCCTGGATGGGAAGGGGGTTTAACACCGCGGATGTCAAATGGTTAAAGATATGGGTAAAGGTCAGCTTTAAGAATTTTACACAACAGTGGGAAGTATTCACGATTTTCTTAATTTCTGAGTGTATTTTGTAAAAATTAAAGGCTGTTACAGAACATCCACCATGCCAGTTACAGGCAGACCTTTTATGATGCCTATTGCACCCAGTACAACCTTTTCAAGTACTCTTCTTCTTGTCTTATCTGTTGCAATTCCTATATGTGGTGTCAGAGTTAGATTCTTCATCTTTAGCAAAGGATGATCTCTGCAGACAAAAACAAAATAGTAAGCGTTATTTAACTTTTTAATAGTAGCAGTTGTTGTAGTAATAATAACAGCATAATATAAAAAGTAATAATAATAACCATATTAATAAAAGACATAATGAAACATATACAGGGCTATTCACAAAAGGGTGAAGAGTTTGGAGAAGGCAGGAGAAGTGAACAATCTAGGGCAACATAGCCAGGGGCGTAGATAAGGTGGGGATGGGGGAGTTCAACCCCCACCATCCCCCCTCCACAGTGTCCTGATCCCATCATTGCATAAAGAACAGCTAAGTTACCCAACTGCATGGATGCTCACAATCTGTGTCCCTAGGTAGGAGTGGGTGGTACAGTCCAGGCAGTGGTGACGTGCCTGCTGTCTGTGAGGTGGGTGAGAGGAGCTGCGGAGTGTAATGTGAACAATGAAATGGCAGGTGATGCCTCAATCAATCGTAAGTTCCAATCCAAGGTGCTAGTAATTCCCAAATAATAATGATAGCAACAGCGAGGAGATGGCTGGCTGACTGTGTGTGTGCACTGTGCAGCTACAGCTATTTATATCTTACAACAAGGTGGACTTGTTAAATGGAGTGCTCACTGCTTCATACACTTTGACAAGAGGGCACATTCAAGGGTCAGATGTGGGCACAACTAAAACTATTTTAGTTTTTGTTTTGGGTGGACACTGCGAGGCAGTTATTTGCTGTAAAGTATTTGTACCCTGTTGTGCTTCAGAACTATGTACAATCTGTCAACTTTGTTATAAAAGAGCCACCATTGCCTCATTTTGCATCATTGTTCTTACCCACTTGCCGTCCGCCGTTGAAAAAAAGAATGGACGCACAGTCGGCGGGGCGATGTAAATACACGGCTTCTTTATTTTCCGCTCGCGCACGCACGAGCAGACCACACTAGCAGGTGTAAACAGCCGGTAACGGCTGTTGCACATACAAGTGATCGGCAGCTCTATAGCCATCCGACCGCTTGTATATGCTGCCCTGCAGTGTGCGCCCTCCCTCCTTCAGCGGTGCCCCCCTCCACCGCTGGTACCTTCTATCCCGGGCTCTGCTGTCCCCTTTGCGGGCCCCGCTCAGTGGCTCTCAGCAGGAAGATCGGAGGGAGATCAGCATTTTTCTACTTGCTGAACTCCTCTCCGATTTCTGAATGCGGAAGTGTTGTGTATTACATCACTTCCGCATCCACCTGTCATTTCTCCGGCTGCTATAGCCAGAGAAGAAGTTGGTGAAGTAGATCTCTGCTTCATCAGCTTCTTTCAGGATCCCCAGGTGACATTAGGGGTCTTGGAGGACCTGTCAGTGTGCCTGTGCTATCACATAGGGGGATTGTAAGCCCCCTATGTGTTATCAGTAACATTAGGTGTAAAAAAAAAATGTCACATATAAAAAATACAAAACATTGTGCTGCACATGTTACATATCACCATGAACGTTACAGTGAGAGCAATCATTCTCGGGCCATCAATCACTGATAACACTAAACTGATGAGCGGTAAAAGCTTTTATATTGTCGCCTATGGGCAACTTTGGTTATTGTATTTTTTTGCAGTTTCATGGGCGCGTGCAATTGTAATAAAAAAATAAATTAAATAAAAAAGTTTAAACAGAAAAACAAAACAGCATGGAGTCCCCATCCCAAACCATACCAGACCCTTTAGGTCTGGTAGGAAAGTTAGGAGGGACCCCAAGTTAAAAACAAAAAAAATGTGTGTGGGGTTCCCCCCAAAATTCATACCAGGAACTCCACCCCCACAAAATGGTGAAAAAAACATGTGAGGTTCCCCCTAAAATTCCCAACCAGACCCTTAACCTTCTTGTCTCCATGCCGATGAGGACAAGGGCCTCTTCCGCCACAACTTTAACCCGGTCGTTGTGGGGGTCTGTGGGCAGGGGAGCTTATTTGCATTGGGGTACCCCCTTTAATAAATAAATAATTAACTATAGGGTTAAAGTAAAAAGTAAATAAAGAGCCTACACTTCACGAAAAAATCCTTTAATTAAAGAAAAATGTTTTTGACATGTCCTTTTAATAAAAAGATAAAATTCCCCAAAATGAAAAAAAAATATTTCAACGACGTAATCTAAAGGTCAATCACGATGTCCAGCGTTGCCAACAACGACGATTCGTCGAAATAAGAAGAAAAAGAACCCGACGCCCACCGACCCGCCCACTAGGGTTGCCACCTTTTCTTCCATCGAAACCCGAACACTCTAGTGACGCACAGAAATGTTTTTGGGAGAATGAGCTGCTCTTATTCGTATGTATATAGAATCACCCATTAATATGTAAATATCACAGTTCACACTATTTTCAGTGGGGAGGCCAGTAGCCCCTATCTCACTTTTGGTTGCCCCTGTCTGCCTGACATCTTGTGTCCGGGTTTCAGCTGCCATGAAACCCGGACACAGCATTCAAAACCCGAACTGTCCGGGTGAATCCTGGACAGGTGGCAACCCTACCGCCCACACCCGAGTCACTACTGCTTTCTTCTTCACTCTCCAAGTTTTATCTAAAGACCTTTAGTGGATAGAGGGAAGTCCTGGTTTGGGAGCAATTTAAAGCTGGCCATACACTGTGTGAATTTCGGAGAGTTCTTGATGAACCGGCTGAAGTTCACACAGTGAGTACCCCCGTTGGCATCCTTCCATCCAGCATCCTTTGATCAGAAAATCAATGGACCCGGATGAAAGATTTTCAGGCAAACAGTGATGGAAGCCAATCAGCTGCTGTCACTGTTCCAAATTGTAGCCAGAGGCAGCCACTTGTGAGGGCCCAGTCACACCAATTGGGGTGCGTTCCAGAGTGGCAGCTGCTGGAATGCACAGCAATCGGTCACAAAACTTCCCCCTTCGTTCTGGGGTGGGAGGAGCCATGGCGGTGCACTGAAGTCAATGGCACTGCATGCAATTGCACTGCGGCCAGGGGGCGTAGTTTGCGGTGCCATTGACTTCAATGCACTGACACACCCCCCTCTCGACCCAGAACGAAGGGGGAAGCTTTGTGAGCGACTGATGTGCATTCCAGCAGCTGCTGCTCTGGAACGCACCACAGTTGGTGTGAATGGGCCCTGAAATAATAACTGCATTAAATGTAACATTCCGGTACCTCACCTTGGTAGGGGTTCTGGATGCGTGACATCTAGAGCTGCAGATTTGATAACTCCACATTTCAAGGCATCTACCAAAGCATCCTGGTCAATGACTTGGCCTGAAATAAACATATGATTTTCTAGTACCTACTAATAATAATCCAATAAGGTGCAATCACACCTGCACAATTTCATATGTTTTAACACGTTAAACATGTATGGTGAGTTCTGTACCATTCTTCTGAATGGAGCCATGCCCATCTTTAAGTGCAATGTGGTTTGTACAAATGTTGTTTACAGCATTTGAAGTGCCCATTATCAGGAAAAAAACACTAAATGGTATTAAACAAAGACTTTAATAAAACAGGAATGTATTTTCCTTTAGAAGCGCTGTGCATTAAACCACATGTGAAACACCCAAAATGCACCTGTAACACATTAAATGGTATCTATGGTCAAAAACGAAAAATTAATATGTATTTCTATATTACATTTCCATATGTTCTATCCCACGCCTGTAGTGGAATTTTGACATTAACTCATACACTTCATGTTGCTGATATTAATTAGCATATACAGTACATTATTATTATGTAATAGTTAAAGTTATTTAGTCCTAGAAGTTAAGCAGCTGTATATAGACATACATGAGCTTTATACAGAGATTCAGATAAACTTTAGATGAACACTAAGAACATACACACTCGGCCCGTGTCCAGTCTATGTACTTGGGTTGGGGTAGAATCATCACTAAATGGTGTCGCAATTGCCGACCTGCACTGCCAGCTATAACCCAGCGCAGGCCCCCCTCCACTTCCGTCATTGGTTGCTAGGACCACTGGCTCCCTAGCAAACAATTACATTAGGCAGGGCAGCCTATAGGGAGGGTACAGTCTTCGGGACCAAGGCAGAGGGTATCAGGATGGAGAGCAGGAGCAGACTGGGGAATGTCCATTCCCCAATCTGCTCTGTGCTGATTGAAGCAGAAAGCACTGTACTCACAGCGCTTCCTGTTTGAGAGTTGTGATAGACCCCTGCTCTCCCTATAAAGAGAACCTGTCACCTCCAATGGCTGTCACATATATATATATATATTTTTTTATTTTTTTTTAAACAACCCTGCCACCCCTGCCATTTGATTAGAATGAACATTCTAATGCTCGTGTATGTAAACAGGAAGGAGGGAGTTCTAAAAATGTCTAAAAAAAACAAACAGTGCGATGCATCGAGATCGGCACATCAGCACTGTGCCTTGGAACACACACTGGCAGCTGTGCGATGTAGTGCAGCAACTGATGTGAATGCAGCCTAAAGGGTGGACCGCGGTATGGACATGAACGGAGTGATCTTCTGTCCGGACCGTGATTTGGATCTCTACTTGGTGAAAATTTCACCCACCGGGCTTCCTTGAATTTTTTTCTTTATTTCAAACTTTTTATTAGAATTTTCCAATACAATCATCAAGCAGCTTACAGTAGAAAAGACATAATTGTGTACACGTATAAGGCATAAACATGTATCGGAATGTCATGAGATGCATCAGTTTAGGTATACACTTGCATAATCTGTAAACTGCATTGAAAAAAGAAAGAGAGCCGCTCACAGAAGGAGCTGAGAAATGGAGGAAAGAAGAAGAGTCCAGTAAATCTGGGGGAGGAAGGATGTAGAGGAGTCGAGGGGGAGGCATTGAGGTTCTAAAATTAGCAGAGAGAGGTCCAGAGTCTAGAGAGACGTTAGACTGTCTGGGGACATTGTAGGATGTGCATAGTCAATCCATGGTTGCCAGATCTTCGCAAACTGTTAATTGGTATCCAGAAAAATACTCGTCAATTTTTCGTTTAGGAAAAGAAGTCCATCCGCCACTTGACTTCTTCAAATGGCACAAATTGCTTTTTCCAAGCCGAGGCGATCGCCTGCTTGGCAGCCAGCACTACATAGGTGGCCAAGCGGTGTTGGTTTCTGGTGAGGTTCGAGGGTTTGAGATGCAAAAGAGCCAACCAGGGGTCCCGTGCAATTGGTATAGAGAATATGTTGCTCAATAGTCGGAATATTTTAGTCCAAAATCAGGCAGGTGGCCGAGTGTGTCGGGTGCAGATGAGCTAGTCTGGAAGGTACCAGGTACCATCCAGTAAGAGATTTGAAAGCAGTCTCCAGTGAGGTCACATTAATAGTACATGTAGCCATAGAAGAACAGATCTGGTGCTAGGCCTCTGGCATCGGGCTGCCCCAAGGTCACGCTCCCGCTTAGAGATGTAGTTGTGTTGTGAGGGGGAGGTTAATGAGTTCAGATGGGAGTAGACTAGTGATATCAATTTGGGGGCGGTAGGGTTACGTCTGCATACCTGCTCGAACATGGTCATGCCAGTCCGGGGTAGGGATGATGGGAGGAGCGAAGCAGCCCAGTGTCGGAGTTGTAAGTACCGGAAGTACTTGGACGTTGGGGCTTGCATTTCATCTTTATAGTATTCCCAACTACGGACTGAACTTTCCACCACAGGTCGCATAAGTAAGTCAGGCCATGTGAAGACCACCAGTTAAATGCAAAGGGTGATTCAAGGCCCGGTGGGAACAACGGGTTGCCCAGGATGGTGAGTAATGGCCGATGAGGGGATTGTAGTTTGCTGCAGTATTTGGTAGTGTCCCATAGTGAAAGGGTGTGGGTTAGAAAGGGACTCACAGTAGAAGGTCGGAGTCTGGCGGGTAACCATGGCAGGGAGCGTATGGAGGTCTCAGGACAGGATAAGGCCTCCAGGTCGACCCATAGTGGCCCTTGTGAGGTTTGGAAGAGCCACAGCAGTGGGGCTATTTGCGCTGCTTGGTAATATTTGTGAAAGTTGGGAAGGCCGAGGCCTCCCTCCCGTTTGTGAATGAACATTGTAGATCTAGGAATTCTAGGTAATTTCGTTGCCCAGACAAAAACCATAACCTTGTTTTGGGACCTCCTTGAATTCTAATTCACTACCCCTGCTCTAGAACAACTTAAGAGACATACTGTCTCAGGAATGTCAGATTTATGGTTAGTTGCAATTACGTAGGCATTAGCAGCCAGTGATATTGTAGCTCATATGGTTTGTACTGTAAAGTTTATTATAAAAAGGGGCCTGTGAGCCTCTGTTCTTTGAACTGCTTTTTGCTTGTTCCCAGCTACAGCTATAAACCTGCTAAATGAAACTTCTGCCTGGTCCTATCCTTTGCTATTCAACTTCACTCCAAATAACCATATCGATCTTGAAGTTTATAAACCTACTTATTGAAGTAGGATGTACTCTCTCAATGCACTGACACACTTTTAGTCAAGCCTGTGAATATGGACTTTCTTGTGTCACAGCTCTCACAATGCCTGACTTGTGAACTACAACTCAGTGTCTGAACAATGTTACATCATCATTGCTTGCTTGCTATGTAGTTTTGAGAAATCGAGAATGCACTAGAAACTTACAGGCAGTATTTTCACCCGCACAGTTGTGAATACACTCATATTCGCTACACAAATATATATTTTTACACCTATATTTTTCTAAAATAATTCGTTATGAAGATAAAATTCATTTTAGTCAGTAAAAATATTCATCTGTATGACGAAAATGTACTGGGGTACCTCGACTGATGTTGATAAGGGTTGCTGTGGACTTCATCAGTTGAAGTTGCTCACGTCCAATCAAATTGTGAGTTTCTGGAGTCAGCTTGACGACCACCATCACAAAGTCACTTTGCTGGAGCAAGTCGGCCATAGTATTGCAGTACTCGGCACCCACGGCCAATTCTTCCTCCACAGGCCTGTGTTAAGGATAATATCAGCAAGAATATTATTTGTGTGATTAATTTAATTAAACTGCAGCATTCAGAATTAAGTTATGTTTTTTCAGTTTTAAAACTGTATCTGGTCATGTCTTTTGATCTATTTTTTTATTTATTTTGGTGGTAATTGTTAAAAAGACTCCCATAAGGATTGTCAGCAGTTAAGTCAACAAGAGTTACATATAAATATTAAAACATTTCTGCTATTAGAAGCTAAACATGATATTTGTTTCTCTAGCTATGAGAAACGCCATCTCACCTTCTGTTCCTGTTATAATAAAGAATTCTCATTCTAAACGCTTTAGACCGCTGAGCAATGCTGTAGCCAATACTGCCCATTCCAATAATGCCCAATGTTGCTTCTGTAATGTCATCGCCCACCCAGTTAAAATCAAAGTCTTTTGTGTCAGGTGAACATGAAATTCCGTGACCTGTAAAAATAAAATAGGATCTGGGTAAATAGGGAATACACTTTACCAAGCCCAACAACACTATTCTCAAGTACTGTGATTAAAAAGGACATCGCAACCTTTTTTTACATGATTACAATGGTATGTAAATCCAACTAAAATCACATAAAGGAATGGACCTCAGACACTCCTGGGATTGACGGACCTGCTCGATGCCACTTTCCATTAAAAATTGTGTATGTTTTATACTCTATATTATGCCATGCAAGCTATATTATTGAGATGGACATAGCCCTGACACTTGCTATGTGGAAGGCTGAAGTTAATAAGGCCCTTCCATTTTATAAACTTACCTATATGGGTTGTGACTGCCCTGCCAAATTTGATACGTTTTGGGATCCCTGGATCAAGGCCAAGCGTGTAACTAGAAATCACAGGGCACCATAGCAAAATTTTGTATGGAGCCCTTTGATTTCTAGTTATGTCACTTACAGAGCCCACCTGAGATACAACACAGCCCAACTGAGAGTGACCCTGCAGAGCCCACCTTAGACTCTCTATGGTGGGCTCTGCAAGGTCCCGGGTGGGTTGGTCACATCCCTGCACACCTCTCACCCCCGATCCACTGCCAGCCTTCTCCACCGCCGGGCCCCTCCTCCTCGGTCGCCGGCGGGCCTCGCCTCCTCCTCCTCTGCTGCCGGGTCCCGGCCTCCTCCACCGCAGCTGCTGGCTCTCACTGACTCAGCAGCGGCAGTGAGGAGGAACGCTCAGCTGCACAGATCACTGGCAGGGTGTCAGTGATCTGGACAGCGACGTGTTCCTCCTCACAGCCGCCACTGACAGCCAGTACCATTTTTGCGCATTGATCTTGTGAATTTTTCTTGTGATATTTATTTTATTGTATCCAGTGTTATTGGATGTTCACCATGATTTGTAAATTCACCAGCTTGTTCCATCTTGTTTGTTTTGTTCTGTTCTTCTATGCATGAAATTTTATAGAAATGTTACCTAATTGAAACAAAAAAAAAACTTCCTGAGTTATTTTACTATTTTTAAATCCGCAGCTTGAATAAAAAAATAATTTGGTGATCTTGCCACGAAGCTGTCTGTCCCAGTCTCCCAGTTCTGCTCTTGGGTTGTTTTCCTGTCACCAGGTCATCCGATGGAGACTACAAGTGGCTGATTTAACACATATTATGCAGACATTGAGGGGAATTTATGAAACGTCAAGGAGACAGAATCTGGAGCAGTTGCCCATCTCAACCAATCATTTTCTCTCCTTCATTTATAAAGCTTAACTGAACAAACTGAAGAGAGAAGCTGATGGGCTACTATGGACAACTGCTCCAGATAATGTCTGCTCCAGTTCTGATAAATTCTCCCCTGCCGTATTCTGTTGGCAGTCTCAGGAAATCTGCCATTGCTGGAGTGCGTGCATGTAGACAGGACGTGGCTACAAAGAGGCTGCAGGAGATCATCAGCGGCAATGAGGTGTAACAAAGAATGGAAAACCGTGAAAACTATTTTATTTCAAAAGTTTACATATGCTTTAACATAAATAATGTTGAATATTGGAGCAAGCAAGTAAGTAAGTTGTGTAAGTTATGTCTAAATTACTTTCAGGTTAATGTTATGTTACAATAAATGTTCGACTTACTGAAGGTACACTATCGTTATAGAAAAAAAACACACAGTTGATATGATTGGTTTCTGTCTGCACTGATCAGACCTTCAAACTGTCTACTGAGACAATATTTCTTTCCTTATCTGTCTTCCCTTACTTATCAGATTTCCAACATTCCTTATCTACTTGTGTGTATTTACAGGAAGGATTTCGTTTGAGACCAGCTGCAGCTATGTAATCTCATAAAGTTTCATACTGAAAGCTTTTCTCTGGAGGGTGTAGTAAACTTTAGGTAAAGGAAAAAGAGTTTTTAAATACTAAAAAAGGGTCTAAAAAGGAAGGGAGACAACAAGTATTCAAAAAATCAAGCACTCAATATATCCCAAACAGTTCAAATCCAAATTTTTTACGCCACTTAGCTCCCAGGCAATTTGTTCGCCAAGCCCTGTGTGAGTAATGCCACTCTTAGATTTACATTTGTATTTGTATTGTCATATTGTCAACCAGTTATACCAAGCATGTGCTAACGATCATCAATTGCATATGTAAGTTGAAACACAGTCATTAACTGAAACAGAAACAACTGGATGAAGAACAGCCACACTCTGCTACTAAGGTGAGGTTGTGGAAGACCGTTTCATGTCACAGGTCATACATGTAAAAGCTCCTCCAAGCTCACTCCTGTGATGGTCTACAATCTCACATGTTTAGTTTATTCATTTGTATTGAGATTGTAGTCCATCATGGAAGTGAGCTTAAATCGGTGGCTACTTTACAACACACACAGGGACCATGGGGAACAAAAGTAGCCACCCTCCAGAAGGAAGGACAGGCATTTTTAAGATTTAACTCTGCATTTTAGTTGTTAATGTTGTTTTGCTTTCCTGTACAGCCTAGTAATTTACTATTTATACCTTCCTTGTTAAAAACAATACAATTTGTGTACTAGACAAACTGAAGTACTGAGCAACAGAGCCGTAGCTAGCTCCTTTTGCGCCCGAGGCAAGAACAGAAAATGGTGTGATGTCACCTGACGCCGTGCATTCTTGGGATCATGTGAAGTCATGCACCCCACCACCAGGATGGTAGCGTGCATGAGCAGAACGTGCCGGTGGCCGAATCCGAAATAGCATAATTTTTTTTTCGCTTGACGAAACTAATTAAAGCGTTTTTAGTTTCCGTTCATTTATCTGTGTGAATGGAGAGCACTCAGTACAGAGGCTTTCCATTCATTCACAAACTGGAAATAGTAAAATATTTACTATGATCCAGTTATGAATGGGTAGAATCCTCTATACTGAGTGCTTCTACCTATTCAGAAACTAATGAATGAACGGGAAGTGATGTAAGGCATCTGCAGAGTGTGCCGCCCCTCTGCTCCCTGCTGCCCCAATGCCGAGGCTGTGTTGGCTGCTTGGTGCCCCTGTTGTCATGGCGCCCTGTGCTCACACACCCCAAAGGCCGGCCCTGGCTGCGCCCCCTTGCAGCTGAGCCCGAGGCGAGTGCCTTCCTATGGCCCTGCTGAGCAGGTAGGCAGTCTTCCCTGTATCCATCCCAACTAAGACAGCACAGTACATTTAATTATGAAGACATTCAACTGATAAATATACAGGCAGTGCAGATACTCCATTAGAAAGTTTGCTAACAGATCACCTTGGGGTAAGAAAATTGAAAATAAAATATAAACTTGAACATGACACAACATGGATATCTTACCTTCTACTACATTTTTGGCAGACGCAAGCATAAGAGCCATCCCCATATCGGCAGTGGCATCATTTCCCACACCGGGTGTATTGGTGACTTTTATTCCATAACTTGATATCAGCTTCAGATCCATGTGATCCACTCCTGCTCCAGAGCTTGAGACCACTTTAAGATTGGGAAAAGACTCTAGAAGTTCTTTCGTCACTACAGGCAGGTGCCACCACAACAAGAGAGCCTGGACCTTTGGGGCATATAGCTCCTTGTTGTTGTTAAACTCATCCAGGTATACAATATGGAAGTGCTGTTTTACAATGCTTTCATAATGTTTTGGAAGACCACGTGATCCACCGCTGTGGGATAACAGTGCGTAGGGAAGTTCTTCCATTTCTTCTACAAAATGTATGTAAAAAAACAATGTATGTCATATGTATGTTTTAACACGGAAAACAGAATACACAGTAGAGCCTGGACCAGATTGCTGTTATTGTAGCCTACAGAAAGGCAACCTTAGCCTTAAAGCGAACCTGTCAGGCATGTTAAAGTCTCTTCCTAAAAGAAAGTATTGCAAGGCTATTACATTTGTTAGCCAGAAAAGTATATTGTATATGCCCCTCTGAAACGGGTTCACTTTGTTACAAAGGCTTGACTGCATTGCTTTTGGGCCTTACCCCAACCTATCCAATAGGGCAGGCTTAGCCCCAATATCAAGGAAGTTGAGCCCTTGGTAAAGCAAGGAACTTTTTTAAGTAGGCTCTAACACAATAAAGAACTAGCTCATGATCTATGATACACTGGATATGTGTTGGGATGCAAGTTATGTATACATAGCTCATTGTGGTGCTCTGTGGTAAAGTGTGTGGTACCACAGGGTGTCTGAGTGAGCTCTAAAGATCCAACACTGAATCATGATTTGCACACAAAAAGCCGTTTTTTTTTTCCATTCAATATATATTTATTACATTTTTCCAAATAACATATATACAAATATACATATACATTTAAATACATAAAAAGTAGTTTCCTTAAACATATACATTCATTCAATTACATAATACTTATTATTTTCACTTCCTCTTTTCCCCAAACACTCCATCCATAAGAGATCACCATAATCTTACACTTCTAATAGACTATATTTAAATACATATCTTCCCACATGCTTTTATCCTTTATTCAAGTCTATTTCTCTTAGATCCATTTCATTTCATGTAGTATTTATCCTCTGCTCCTATAAAAGGAGCACAGGAAGAATGCCATGAGTGGGAGAGAGAGAAGAAGATTAGAGAGAAAGGAAAACAAAAAAAAAGAAGAATACACTGTGGAGCCTGGACCAGATTGCTGTTATTGTAGCCTATAGGAAAGCATCCTTAGCAGCCTTAAATCAAACCGGTCAAAAAAAGTATTGCAAGGCTATTACATTTGTTAGCCAGAAAAGTATATTGTATATGCCCCTCTGAACCGGGTTTTTACTTTGTTACAAATTGTGGGGGTGCAAGTCAAATAAATATATACACAGCTCATTGTGGTACTCTGCGCTAAAGTGTGTGGTACCGCAGGGTGTCTGAGTGGGCCCTAAAGATCCACCACTGTATCAGGATTTGCACACAAAAAGCCGTTTTTAACTACAATACAGCTTTACCATTGCAGTAAAAGGGGGCCAACACCTAACACAAGAATAGTGGGAGGCACACCAAAGACTGTCCATAAATAGCCTGGTACAAGTAAGTGTTGTGGTTGTAGCTGTGCTCACGCTGGGAATAAAATCATCCTGTAATAAAATCCTCCAATGAGGGATTAAAATACAGGGTTTCTGATGCAATCTGTGTCAGCCATGTGTTATGCGGAGTCTCAGGGTCTCATTGAAGGGTAGCTAGGCACCTCCCTGCCTGGCCAGCGGCCACACACATAATTCTGCCTAGCTGTAGCGCGCCTAACACCTTATAAATAAATGGTAATATGACTTGAAAATGTAATTCATATATTTGAATAAATCAATAAAATGTGCAGCTATAAATATAAAAGAAAAGCTTGGCAAAGAGAGAAATTCAGCCACACATACCTCAGCCACAGTTCTCTCATCTGACACACTAAGACTTTGCTGAAGAAGCAAAAGGAGTTAATTAGTTACTTAACCGGCTATATAAGTTTCTTTACTGAGACATTTTGCAAACACGCATGTACTGATATCAAGATGTTCACAGTTCAATAAATGTGCTAAACTGCATGTAGTTCAATGATTGAGCTGAAGAAGAAAAGATAAGGCCAAAGATTAATCTATAGGATATTTGGATCGAAATGATTGTCTTTTATTATAATTTGAATACAGGATAATAACAGACAATCTTTTGCACCTAACCACCTTATTGAATCATCATTTTGGCGCTCTCTTATTTTATATATATATATGCATAAGTTCTCTTCTAAAAACAAGTGAGCACATCGCCACCTGCAGGTCACTCGTGTATTACACGGCTGGGAGTGGGGAGAATAGGAATGTATTCCTGACTCTTGGGGACCAATTTGAAATTCTTCAGCCCAGCACAGCATTCTTGCCACTAGATGGAGCTGAGGAGCACTGGAATATGCTCCTCTGCTCCATCTAGTGGGTGGAATTATGCACGCACAGCATGTACCCAGTGTATGGTTGTTGGGCCTGCTGACATCACATCCAAGATGGCGGCAACAAACAGAAGTCTCCACAAGGGAGGCTTTTAAAGATAATAAATAACATCCCCAAAAATACAGTAAATGTCCATATGAGTGTATTGGAAATATTTTAATTAAATGAATAGTCTGCCAGCGGGGTCTCTTTAAGTGCTATCTGTGAAGGTACTTCAAGGGATCATGTCTCAAGGGCAGGGATAGGCAACCTTGACACTCCAGCTGTTGTGGAACTACAAGACCCACGAGGCATTGCAAGACTCTGCTAGCCACAGGCTGGTCCAGCTCTGAAGAAGGGTTGTCTCCGAAAACGCATTCAGCTGTGTCAGCTTGTTCCTGCTGGTTCAAGCAGAGCGTTTGGATTGCCTTCGAACTGCTTCTTTGATTTCCCCACTTGGAATGCCTTCTAGGATTTGATGTCCAATACGTTTTTAACCTGCCTCCATTGTGAGTACAATCATTTTACACATTTCTTTTTGCACAATAAAATGATTATTTTATGATAGGAAAGGCGCCCGGTGTTTTTGTTTTTTATGTTTTATGCAGTGACATCCATTGTCTGTTATGGGGCAGCCTGCCTGGATTGCAAGAAACATTTCGGGGCTGGTGGAGGTTTTCTTCATGGTAGAGTGCATGCTTATGGACCTAGGAGAAGGCCTCGGACTTTGTGATGAGTAAGTAGGGTTGCCGACTCCCACTTTTTAACTAAAATCAGTAAACATGGCCACTAGTTGAATAGATTTGTAGACAAAAGTGCTAATATATAATGAAAATAAAGTGTTCTCTTACCGCATCCTATAGCCAGCACATTTTTATTGTTCCATCACCTGTACTGATAAGTGAACAATGGGGCAGTGTATGGAGAGGGATGAGACTGATAGGGAAGTCTCTCTATGCCACCGCATACTGACTTTGGGACTCTCAGTACTTCCTACATACACCGAAATTAGTCCTTTCCTGTTATTGCAGGTGGTGGAATAGTAAAGGTATGCTGTTACTCTGCAATTGTGGGGTGCACAAGAGTGTTAAACAGTAGATAAATATTAAAAAAGTATTGGCATAGGACATTGCAGTCACACGTTGGCTCTTTATACTGAGATCTGAGCGGTCATGTAACTGATAATCACTCGGCTCGCTGTCTCTTCTATGATGGGAGCAGTCACTGTCAGTCATCACTCCTCGGAGAGATTCCCTCCTTCCCTCTCTGTTCCTCCAGCGCTCATTGGAGATACAGACAGGGAAGGGGTGGGCACAGCTGGCTCTGGCTCTAAAGAGGCAGAGCCAGCTGTCAATCAGGCAGCCATGTGGATCCCGACAATATTGTCAGGATCCTTCCCGGCTGCACTGTGGCTCTGCGCTGTCAGCATATAGCGTGCAGTAGGCCACTATATGCTGAGTTTGGGTCATAGGAGTACATTAGTGAATCTACACCTGTGACCCAAAAGAGAATTAAAGCCAAATAAAAGGTTTAGCTTTATTTCCTTTTTAAAGCACAGCCACTGTACAGTTTTTCAAAAAAACATTTTTTTGTAGTCGTGCAGCCAATAAAACAATGGCAATGTAATGGGCTACCCTTTACAGAATTTTACATTGTAAGCTCTCAAGGGCAGGGCCCTCCTTACCATCTTGTCTTGAATTGTATTGTGATTGTAATGTCTTCCTTATATTGTAAAGCGCTACGCAAACTGTTGGCACTATAGTACATTCTGTATAATAATGAATGCAGTTTCCCGCAGTATGGCCTTGCCGAGTAAGTGAATCTGTCTTTGCTATGCACAAGCTTCTCCTGGCTACCACTAGGGGGCGCTGTTTAAAGTTCTGTTTTCAGCAATACGGCCTGCAGCCTCCTGGCTCTGAGTACATCCTTCTGTCCTTTGACAAACCTTCTCATGTGAGACAAGTTCTGCATTCAGCATAGAATCAGTAACTATGACCAGTTTAGATCAGCAAAAGTGATTCACGACAGTGCTCCCATATTTACACTTATTGTATGAAGCTGTAAACTCATTGCTCTTGTGTGACTTTTCATTTTGTCTCGGTGTGAGTACAAGGCATGGGGTCCAGATGTGTGATGCCTGATAAATCTAAAATGTGTGTGTATTTTATTAACTCTTACAAAACATTTACATATTATTAATATACAGGATATGGATGTTCAGATACCAGTGCCGATACTTGGCATTTTCACGAGAACTACCGGGGTTGCAGAGGTTGCAGCTCTGGCTCTGGCACTCCACCACTGTCCTGAAATCATTAGTCTGTATTGTTTTAGAGAAAGTGTCACAATAAACAAAAATGTATCAGTACTTGTATCTGTAAATACTTGGGCTAGTATTAGTACTTGTACTTGGAAAAATGGTATCGGTGCATCCCTATATTTATATATACACAATATTACATTTTAAAACAGAGATGTACAAATCCCAGGAGCTCCGTGTGCTCCTTACAAATGACAGCTGCCTACTAACTGTTGAATTTGTCTCTAGTCTAGTCTTGGAGCTGGAAAAGTGTCTATACTTGTACCGATTACGGTACTTGGTATCGGTGCATACCTACTTTGTACAATATATATTTTTAGTGCTTAAAGCCTTTGTGATTTATGTAATTTTTCATAAAATATCAAATTGTTCTGACTACTGGTGGCCAATTCTGTTACCTTTCTATGTTTTGACATATCTCATGCTCTCATATTTTTTCCAGCACGAAAATGTATTTTTAAATATATAGAAGATCAATGTTCAAAAACATTTTATGAGGCAGCAAAAGCTATGTTGCAGATTATTAACCACTTGCTGTCTGGAGCAATTTCTTACTACTTGCGCACACATGAAACAATATACATTTTTGGCTAGAAAACAGCTCCAGACTCCAAAACAATTATATATTTTCTGAAAGCCAAGGCCATGTAGAATAAAAAGATGCTAGTTGAATTTTTTTATGTCGCACGGTATTTGCGCAAATGTTTATCAAACCAATATTTTTAGGATAAAATAAACTAAATAAAAAGTTAGTGCATAGAAACAGAATATAATACCCAATTTTTTGGTAAAATATGAAAGATGGGATCATGTAGGGTAATTAGATACCAAACATGTCAAGCCTTAACCTCCCGGGCGGTATGATTATGCAGGATTTTAGCATGCCAAATAATTCTGGGGGCGCTGCCTGATCCATACCTCAGTCAATAGAGTACAGTAAAAGTGCAGGCAGGGCACTGGACAAAGCTCTAGGGGCAAAATTTAAGTGAAATAGTTTGATACATATATGTAATTTTGGCAGATCACATTGTATTCTGTGTATTTTGTGACACCTGAAAACGAAACTGAAAGCCGGCATCGGCCGGGCGCACCCAGCAGGGGACACCGCGGGCTCGCAGGGACAAGGTAAGTGACACTTTTGCGCAATCCCGAGTGTGGCTCGGGGTTACCGCTCTTGGTACTGAAAATCAACCCCAAACCACACCAGGGAATACCGCCAGGAAGGTTAAAACTGCGTTCGCCCGTGAAGCCGCAAAAAACTTCAATACCCAAAATTTCCCATAGGCAACACTTTAAACACTTTAACCACTCATCAGTTTAGTGCTAACAGTGATTGACAGGGCTAGAACTCCGACGTTCGCGGCGATATGTAACGTGTACCACAATTGTCGGTTTCGCACGTATGCGCACCGATGCGTGTTTGCGTGTGTATGTGGGGACTCAAAAAAAATGTAAGTGATTGTTAGCTTCCTATTGCTATCACATAGGGAGCTAACAAGCACCCTATGTAATAGCAGATAGGGTGTGACCGGTCCCCTTTATGGAGAATTCAGGGGTCTATAAGACCCCTAATGTCACCAAGGGACCCCAAAGAAGCTGAGGAAGCAGAGATCTACTTCCCCAGCTTCTTCTCCTGACTCTAAGAAGGAGGAGAATGTAAATAGTGACACCGGAAGTAATGTAATACGCATCACTTCTGGGTCCAGTAATCGGAGGAGAGATCAGCAGCTAGAAGCCGCTGGATCTTTCTCCGATCATTGCAGGGAGATCCGCAGAGCCGGTCCCGGGGAAGCCAGCGGCGGGCCCCGGCGTGGGTCTGGAGAGGGGACAGCGGCGTTCGGTACAAACGATCCGGCAGCTGTACAGACGCCGGATCGCTTGTACTTTAACAGACATCATTGGCTTGTTTTAACCACTTCTGCAGGCCGCCGTCTATAGACGTATTGCGGCCCCAAAGTGGTTAAGGGTAGTTTAAACCTACGCATTTTCCTGAGCATTTGGGCACTCAAGGAAATTGGATCTAGATTCCTGTCCATGTTTGGCAACAATGCAGTTTGGACTTGGCTCAGACATTCTTGGTGCTTTCTGTGGCACCTCCAGTGAATGAACCCAGAAGCAACGATGATTTTGTCTTCTGGTTTCGGGCTGTCATTCTTCCGGCTGCTGTGGCCAGAGAAGAAGCAGTTGAAGCATGCTATGTGATTCATCAGCTTCAGTGGGAT